TGAGGTGAAGCAAGCTGATCTACAGGATCCAGTATGAGATATCAACGTGTCCACCTGCATGACACTCTGTGCGAGGTAAGCATACTGATCTACAGGACCCAGTATGAGATGTCCACATGTCCACCTGCATGACACTCTGTGCGAGGTGAAGCATACTGATCTACAGTATCCAGTATGAGATGTCCACATGTCCACCTGCATGACGCCCTGTGTGAGGTGAAGCAAGCTGATCTACAGGATCCAGTATGAGATATCAACGTGTCCACCTGCATGACACTCTGTGCGAGGTAAGCATACTGATCTACAGGATCCAGTATGAGATGTCCACATGTCCACCTGCATGACACTCTGTGCGAGGTGAAGCATACTGATCTACAGGATCCAGTATGAGATATCCACGTGTCCACCTGCATGACACTCTGTGTGAGGTGAAGCATACTGATCTACAGGATCCAGTATGAGATGTCCACATGTCCACCTGCATGACACTCTGTGCGAGGTGAAGCATACTGATCTACAGGATCCAGTATGAGATATCCACGTATCCACCTGCATGACACTCTGTGCGAGGTGAAGCATACTGATCTACAGGATCCAGTATGAGATATCCACGTGTACACCTGCATGACACTCTGTGTGAGGTGAAGCATACTGATCTACAGGATCCAGTATGAGATATCCACGTGTCCACCTGCATGACACTCTGTGCGAGGTGAAGCATACTGATCTACAGGATCCAGTATGAGATATCCACGTGTCCACCTGCATGACACTCTGTGTGAGGTGAAGCATACTGATCCACAGGATCCAGTATGAAATGTCCACATGTCCACCTGCATGACACTCTGTGTGAGGTGAATCATACTGATCTACAGGACCCAGTATGAGATGTCCCGATGTCCACCTGCATGACGCCCTGTGTGAGGTGAAGCATGCTGATCTACAGGATCCAGTATGAGATATCCACGTGTCCACCTGCATGACACTCTGTGCGAGGTGAAGCATACTGATCTACAGGATCCAGTATGAGATATCCACGTGTCCACCTGCATGACACTCTGTGTGAGGTGAAGCATACTGATCCACAGGATCCAGTATGAAATGTCCACATGTCCACCTGCATGACACTCTGTGCGAGGTGAAGCATACTGATCAACAGGATCCAGTATGAGATGTCCACATGTCCACCTGCATGACACTCTGTGTGAGGTGAAGCATACTGATCAACAGGATCCAGTATGAGATGTCCACATGTCCACCTGCATGACACTCTGTGCGAGGTGAAGCATACTGATCAACAGGATCCAGTATGAGATGTCCACATGCCCACCTGCATGACACTCTGTGTGAGGTGAAGCATACTGATCTACAGAATCCAGTATGAGATGTCCACGTGTCTACCTGCATGACACTCTGTGTGAGGTGAAGCATACTGATCTACAGGATCCAGTATGAGATGTCCACATGTCCACCTGCATGACACTCTGTGTGAGGTGAAGCATACTGATCTACAGGATCCAGTATGATATGTCCACATGTCCACCTGCATGACACTCTGTGTGAGGTGAAGCATACTGATCTACAGAATCCAGTATGAGATGTCCACGTGTCTACCTGCATGACACTCTGTGTGAGGTGAAGCATACTGATCTACAGGATCCAGTATGAGATGTCCACATGTCCACCTGCATGACACTCTGTGTGAGGTGAAGCATACTGATCAACAGGATCCAGTATGAGATATCCACGTGTCCACCTGCATGACACTCTGTGTGAGGTGAAGCATACTGATCTACAGGACCCAGTATGAGATGTCCACATGTCCACCTGCATGACACTCTGTGTGAGGTGAAGCATACTGATCTACAGGATCCAGTATGAGATGTCCACATGCCCACCTGCATGACACTCTGTGTGAGGTGAAGCATACTGATCTACAGGATCCAGTATGAGATGTCCACATGTCCACCTGCATGACACTCTGTGTGAGGTGAAGCATACTGATCTACAGGATCCAGTATGAGATGGCCACATGTTCACCTGCATGACACTCTGTGTGAGATGAAGTATACTGATCTACAGGATCCAGTATGAGACGTCCACATGTCCACCTGCATGACACTCTGTGTGAGGTGAAGCATACTGATCTACAGGATCCAGTATGAGATGTCCACATGTTCACCTGCATGACACTCTGTGTGAGATGAAGTATACTGATCTACAGGATCCAGTATGAGATGGCCACATGTCCACCTGCATGACACTCTGTGTGAGATGAAGTATACTGATCTACAGGATCCAGTATGAGATGGCCACATGTTCACCTGCATGACACTCTGTGTGAGATGAAGTATACTGATCTTCAGGACCCAGTATGAGATGGCCACATGTTCACCTGCATGACACTCTGTGTGAGATGAAGTATACTGATCTACAGGATCCAGTATGAGACGTCCACATGTCCACCTGCATGACACTCTGTGTGAGGTGAAGCATACTGATCTACAGGATCCAGTATGAGATGTCCACATGTTCACCTGCATGACACTCTGTGTGAGATGAAGTATACTGATCTACAGGATCCAGTATGAGATGGCCACATGTCCACCTGCATGACACTCTGTGTGAGATGAAGTATACTGATCTACAGGATCCAGTATGAGATGGCCACATGTTCACCTGCATGACACTCTGTGTGAGATGAAGTATACTGATCTACAGGATCCAGTATGAGACGTCCACATGTCCACCTGCATGGCACTCTGTGTGAGGTGAAGCATACTGATCTACAGGATCCAGTATGAGATGTCCACATGTTCACCTGCATGACACTCTGTGTGAGATGAAGTATACTGATCTACAGGATCCAGTATGAGATGGCCACATGTCCACCTGCATGACACTCTGTGTGAGATGAAGTATACTGATCTACAGGATCCAGTATGAGATGGCCACATGTTCACCTGCATGACACTCTGTGTGAGATGAAGTATACTGATCTTCAGGACCCAGTATGAGATGGCCACATGTTCACCTGCATGACACTCTGTGTGAGATGAAGTATACTGATCTACAGGATCCAGTATGAGACGTCCACATGTCCACCTGCATGACACTCTGTGTGAGGTGAAGCATACTGATCTACAGGATCCAGTATGAGATGTCCACATGTTCACCTGCATGACACTCTGTGTGAGATGAAGTATACTGATCTACAGGATCCAGTATGAGATGGCCACATGTCCACCTGCATGACACTCTGTGTGAGATGAAGTATACTGATCTACAGGATCCAGTATGAGATGGCCACATGTTCACCTGCATGACACTCTGTGTGAGATGAAGTATACTGATCTACAGGACCCAGTATGAGATGGCCACATGTCCACCTGCATGACACTCTGTGTGAGATGAAGTATACTGATCTACAGGATCAAGTATGAGATGGCCACATGTTCACCTGCATGACACTCTGTGTGAGATGAAGTATACTGATCTACAGGATCCAGTATGAGATGGCCACATTTCCACCTGCATGACACTCTGTGTGAGATGAAGTATACTGATCTACAGGATCCAGTATGAGATGGCCACATGTTCACCTGCATGACACTCTGTGTGAGATGAAGTATACTGATCTACAGGATCCAGTATGAGATGGCCACATGTTCACCTGCATGACACTCTGTGTGAGATGAAGTATACTGATCTACAGGATCCAGTATGAGACGTCCACATGTCCACCTGCATGACACTCTGTGTGAGGTATAGCATACTGATCTACAGGATCCAGTATGAGATGTCCACATGTTCACCTGCATGACACTCTGTGTGAGGTGAAGCATACTGATCTACAGGATCCAGTATGAGATGTCCACATGTTCACCTGCATGACACTCTGTGTGAGGTGAAGCATACTGATCTACAGGATCCAGTATGAGATGTCCACATGTCCACCTGCATGACACTCTGTGCGAGGTGAAGCATACTGATCTACAGGATCCAGTATGAGATGGCCACATGTCCACCTGCATGACACTCTGTGTGAGATGAAGTATACTGATCTACAGGATCCAGTATGAGATGGCCACATGTCCACCTGCATGACACTCTGTGTGAGATGAAGTATACTGATCTACAGGATCCAGTATGAGATGGCCACATGTTCACCTGCATGACACTCTGTGTGAGGTGAAGCATACTGATCTACAGGATCCAGTATGAGATGGCCACATGTTCACCTGCATGACACTCTGTGTGAGGTGAAGGATACTGATCTACAGGATCCAGTATGAGATGGCCACATGTCCACCTGCATGACACTCTGTGTGAGGTGAAGCATACTGATCTACAGGATCCAGTATGAGATGTCCACATGTCCACCTGCATGACACTCTGTGTGAGGTGAAGCATACTGATCTACAGGATCCAGTATGAAATGTCCACATGTCCACCTGCATGACACTCTGTGTGAGGTGAAGCATACTGATCTACAGGATCCAGTATGAGATGTCCACATGTCCACCTGCATGACACTCTGTGTGAGGTGAAGCATACTGATCTACAGGATCCAGTATGAGATGGCCACGTGTCTACCTGCATGACCATGTATATGTAGGATAAAACACGTCAGAGCTCGAGGGGTTAATTTCATTAAAACCCTTGTACAGTACTCTCACTTTCCATGAACCTTACGAAACGGACGTATAATAACTCTTGCTGGCGAACACGAACTTGACAAAGAGACTCTTTAAGCATGGCGGTTATCAGCTCCTCTGTCGCCTTGTGGCCCACTCACTGCAGATACCAAGATTGACGACTTCGTCATCCCGGCACCATGGAGACATTACACTATCCCCGGAACTTGTACATCTCAGATCCCAGGGACAGTGTCGGCAGCCCCTGATTGAAAAAAACATATGACGACTCTGAATGTTTATATGAGGTGTAAACAGATACATCTGCGGGATATCCTGATTGATAAATCGCACACTGTTTTTCTCTGTATAAGCCATGGGAAGGTCCCATACGCCATTATGCTGTTAAGAATGATCCCGGAGACATAGCCTTTGTTGAAAGTGTTGAAATCGTTCCCTGTTCAGCGCAACTGGCAAATGTGCTATCTGAACAGGTGGCCACAATGCGCGTCACCACAGTGTCAATGCAACATGCACAATGAGCGTATGTCTATTTATGGCCATGATCTGACCCATTTTAAGAGGAAAATATCAAATCAATACCCAGATTGTTTTGTAAAATGCTGTTGGTGACATCAGCCGGACTTTTTCTGAAGATTGTGATGACACAGTTACCAGTTTAGCATTTCAAAGTTTTCAGCGTGACGTAGAGTTAAAAATACATGTTTACAGTTCACGCCTTGCTCCTTGTGACGTAACACCCAAGACGCTACCTGAGATATACTTGATTAATCTCAGGTGCGCGAGTGACACGCCGATCTGATCAGGAATATACTAAAGGCGAAGTGAGAGGCAGAGCTCCACAATGTAGGTATATCCTGTTGTTGATGTAGATATTACAGGGATATAGTAACGTGTAATAATTATGAATATATCGATATGTGTCATTATACAGTGAATGAAACGTTAGAGGTCGAATGAGATCGACTGCATGTTAATTCAGTTGGACAATTGGACCAGGGGTGTATTTGGTTTGAGTTTTGTAAACTACAATTGTGAAATATGAATACATGCCGTATGTGCTGAACCTGTCCGAATTTTGTCTCAGGTACAGGAAGTTAATGGTTGTTTTACCAGTAAATTGTATTTCAAACGATGTAAGCACCACTGCGGGAAAGCATGTCACTGAACACACATATTTACGTTTGTACAGTGTAAACACACGGGACTGACATTGTCATTTGAACAAAAGCAATATTATATATTTATCATATTTGAATATAAAATTATTATAAAAGATACAATAAAGGTTATAGCTAGCAACTATTAAACTGGTGTGTAAAATTGTATAGATCAATCGTCGTAAGCAGCTTCTGTTTTCGGGCGACACTGACGCGGAAGTGAGTTGAGACGAGTGTGCCCGCGGCAATATTAATCACGCTGATGACGGAGAATCTGGTTGCCTCAACCATGTGGTGTTCCCTGGGGTGAAACTCACTGAACGAACGTGTAAAAGATAAATTGTTTGATAACCTAAATAGAACCAGAAAGAAACCCCCGAATCTTTAAAGGATTATATTGTTCCATCTAACTTTTGAGGTATGAACTTGGATGTACGAGGCATGTGTTATCAATGTGATAGTGTTCGTGCAGTCATGGTTATGGAATGACGGTTTATATGAACTGAACCCAGTTTCAGTTGAAACATAGGGAGTGAGGAGTTCAGTTAACGCCGTTTTCAGCAATATTCCAGCAATATCACGGCGTGACGAGCCAATGCTGTAACCACTAGGCAACTTCAACGCCCCTAAAACATACGACAAGGACATATGAAGCACGATCAGATGACAACAAGGAAATGTTGTCTCAGGAAGTGTTCTACAAGTACTTCCTCAGAGGTTTATAAATATTACAGAGGTGATTTAGGATATCTGATTTGATCCATGAATAACAATATGGCCTCATTTACTCACGGCTAAATTAGGACTGCAGTCCTGTTAATGTTTGTTTGTTTGTTGTTCAACGCCGCACTCAGCACTATTCCAGCTATATGACGGTGGTCGATAAATCGAGTCTGGACCAGAAAAATCCAGTGATTGACATCATGAGCATCGATCTACGTAATTGAGATATGATGACATGCATTAACCAAGTCAGAGAGCCTGGCCGCCTGATCGAGCTCTTTCGACAAGCAAAGTCGTCGTTTACGGCAAGCATTGGTTGCTGAAGACCTACTCTAACTCGGATCTTCACGGGTTTGCCGTCTTGTTAATGTGATATTGCATTAAATGGCACACATATAATCACAGTGCGCTAATATTTACGATCATTGCCTGAGTTGAGAGTGTTTAACGGCGTGTTGCAGGTGCTTATTATGGTGGGGTGTGGGTGGTGGGGGCAGTTGGTATATTTTATCCGTTACAACATTTCCTCTCCAAAACCCCCAAAGCTGCCAATATTGCCAACACGGCAATAAGGCGAAATTCACTCAGTCGTCGGAAGTAATCAGTTACTACCAGATTAAATGATAGTCAGATAATTCTATCACTTACATTTCAGTAACAGCGACTTTGGTTTCAGAGTGATATAGTGTCCCAGCGATGGGGAAGCGACTACACTGTGTCATTGTGGCCATCGTGACGTCACTGAGCGGGTTCCTCATCTCAAGCACCGTGACAACCGTGTATAGCGGAGCGAACATTATCGGACTCGAGTTTTATGGCAGCGTGGTGTCCTGGGTGCCCATCGCCATGGTGATGTCTTTTGGATTAGCAGGTATATACAAACATGGCATCATACCACGACAATATTTACATACCAGTCACTGCCCTGGGATCCTTAAAGGGCGTTGGGAAATATCATTGACTATTATGGAGAAAAATACCCTTCAAACACTCCTTAAAATCCTTCCTACAAGTAGAATATCTACACGGAGAGCTGAAGCTTAGTGGTTCGATCCCCGGACGCTTCATACGAAAGAACGTTGAATGATGTTACCCTGACTCGGCTTTGTAAGTCACTGGTCGGCTCGGAGTTAGTGTAATGTGTCTATCCATGTTACATTTCGACATGAGATCTCAGTGGGATAAGACTTAAGACTGGCATACGTCCGGACAAGGACAAGCACCAACAAAAGCACACATACATGCGCCCCATTTTACCTGACCCCACCTTCCTACATCTGATACATATATCCTTCTCTCTACTTCCTCCAGCCCCCACGTGCGGTGTGATTGCCACTGTGCACGGACCCAGACTGGTCAGCCTTGTCGGAGGGGTAGTGGTCACTTTGAGCATGCTGGTCAGCGCCTTTGCTCAATCAGGTGTCCATGCGTTTATTACCTTCGGGATCATCACAGGTATGTCAGTTCTCATACATGCATATCGTCACTTAATGCATCACTGGTATATATCGTCACTAAATGCATCACTGGTATATATCGTCACTAAATGCATCACTGGTATATAACGTCACTAAATGCATCACTTGTATATATCGTCACTAAATGCATCACTGTATATATCGTCACTAAATGCATCACTGGTATATATCGTCACTAAATGCATCACTGGTATATATCGTCACTAAATGCATCACTGGTATATAACGTCACTAAATGCATCACTTGTATATATCGTCACTAAATGCATCACTGTATATATCGTCACTAAATGCATCACTGGTATATATCGTCACTAAATGCATCACTGGTATATATCGTCACTAAATGCATCACTGGTATATATCGTCACTAAATGCATCACTGGTCTGTATGTATTCTTGAGGTAAACAATTTGAAGTATGGAAAGCTTGTTACCAGTCATGCACTTGTGTGGAAGATAATTATCGTAACGTCTGTAGTATTGTAACGTCTGTAGTATTGTAACGTCTGTAGTATTGTAACGTCTGTAGTATCGTAACGTCTGTAGTATTGTAACGTCTGTAGTATTGTAACGTATGTAGTATCGTTACGTCTGTAGTATCGTAACGTCTGTAGTATTGTAACGTCTGTAGTATTGTAACGTCTGTAGTATTGTAACGTCTGTAGTGTTTACTTTGAGCTTGGATGCACCCGATATATATACTAATTACTATGTCATATGTCACAACCCTACTATCAAAAACAAAGACGAAAATATATAAGCCATCTGGAATACTCTGAACTATACCACTGAGGACTCAATAAACAATTTGTTTTTCACAGGTATTGGGTGCAGCCTAGTCTATATCGGCATCTACGAATCAGTTAAGACAATGTTCACTACAAACAGAAACATTGTGTTTGGCATCGTTGGATGCATCAGCTTCTTTGGCTTCTTCACAAAGCCCCTGACACAGAACGTTCTTGATGTGTACCATTGGCGGGGGACGTTGCTCATCTTCACGGGGGTACTGATGAACATTATCCCCCTCTCCTGCCTCCTCCCTAGCGCTGAACGCAGAAAAGATAACCCTCAACCCAGTATCACGCAAGGAGGCCTCATCAATGACATGAACAGAAGGCCAATAGTTCGCAACTCATGGGCACAGAAACCCAATGGGGTCAGACTATCCACGAGACGGGACTCGGAAGATTTAGAAACTTTGTGGAACGAGGGGCCTGATGAACCACGTGCTCTCTTAAAAGTAAGCAGGATACTTGACATGATGAAGATCTGGAGAAAGACAGGTTACTTCGCCCTCTTATTTGCCACCATGCTGTATGGGTATGGCGTGTCTGTCGTCCTCATGCATATCCAAGAATATGTCATCGTAAGAAGCTTTACTGCCAACCCAGGTTCTGAGTTGCTGCTTATTGTGTTGGGTGTGAGTGTCTGTGTGTGGACCCTACTTCAGGGAGTTGTTACCAACTACTTGCTTGACCCTGTGTACTGGTACGTGATGCTTGCTACAGTGGGCGGGCTGATAACGTTCGTGTTCATCATCCCCCTGCCTTTAAGCATAATATTCGTTTATGCAGCACTAGTTGGAATAAGCTTTGCAGGAACAGGAAGGGAGATAACTGCATCCATCATCATCAACCTTGCAGGAGAAGACAACTTTGCCTTCCCCTTTGGAATAAATGTATTTGTGTCAACAATGGCGATGTCAATAGCTTCACCGTCGACGGGTATGTATATAGTCAAACTATTGAAAACAGTAGTAAGTAAGCACTGTATTTATCAAATGTTTTTCATTACTTATGACCAGCAGACGTAGTTCAAAATTAACATCATTATTATTAGTTTCAACAAAATCAGTAAATACACTAACGTGTTTTTGGTTCATCGATCACTTGATTGTTTGGTTTGTTTACAGACCGTCGTGCATGGCGCGAGCACTGCTGTGCGACATCAGGCAATCAATACTTACTTTTTTATGCAATGTGTGTGAATGGCGGGTGCTGGCGGTAGAGCAGAACATCCTTGCCCTTTTCGCGAACACCTGGTGTCATCACTAACTTTCAGTGGTCCATGCATATAATGTTCACAGCTCTTTTGCCCTTTGCACCAAATGGAATCTGTTTCGGCGGATAATCTAGACTTGTTATTCTCTTGCATTGAGGGTTTATATAATTAGTTATATCTCGACATGTGTGTGGGGGGAAAGCTTAAACACTCTTAAATATTTACCTAATAATTATAGGTATACCACAGTTGCCTAATGATGCACGAAAACATGTATTTGGCAGTAAGTGACGTTGGAAGGTTTTTGCTTGCCTTATTCTTCTTTGTTTTATGCTACAATAATTGCCGATACAGCGTTAATCAAGATACATACCACCCTGCAGTTATTCCCTAATGTAACATACTCATGCTGAGCTATTGGGGTCACGTCAGTAAAGCGTATTGAGGACTCACAAGGACATGCTATGTACATATATATACCTGTGTTGTGTTGTCAACAAGTAGGTCGATCTCAATCGATTGCACACACTCTCTGCACTGTTCGCCACACATGTTACAATATACAGCATAGAAGTTGACATAGTGTGGCTACCAGGAGCAACACTAGTGGTAAAATACACAGACGTGGCTGGGCATGTCCAAACTAAAATAGATCCTATCTCAGCAAATAGGTTAATGGTATATTGTAAAGATCTCGATGAATATTTCTCAATATATATGTAAGTGTTTGTTGTTCAACGGAGCACTCAGCAATTCCAGTCATGCGACGTAATAATCGAATTTGGGACCGATAAACCAGTGGTTGATATGAGCATCGATATACGCCGCTGAGATACAATAACATGCATCAACCAAGTCTGTGAGCATGACCATCCGATCCTGTTTGTCGCCTCTTAAGACAGGCATGGGTTGCAGAATTCCAACCCGGATCTTCACGGGGCTATCTGTCAGGTAGTGGGCTTGGTTTATTGCAATAACACCACAGCATGTCAGCTTAAAGTGGGAGGGAAGCCCGTTCAAATGTACCATTGACACCTGAACTGGTTGTTGGCAAAGGGAATATAGTACGGTGTATAGGGTTAAATGTTAGCATCCTTGCTGACGACTTGAATAACAATAATAATAATGATCATGATGATACTAACAATTCGGAAAAAAATAAATATAATGTAATGGAATAAAGCACTGCAGGGAGAATGAACCATTAAAGGCGCAGTCCCGAGTGGTGTATTTACCCTGCAGTGTTTTATTGTACGTAAACAACGACCACGAATCGTTCATTTCTTTTATGATGTACCAACCTTTGGTACAGTCTCTGGGGGCACGGGTGGCCCAGTCGTCTAAGGCGCCGTGATTCGCTGTGCAGAGTTGCGTCCCTCTGGCACGCCAGAAACCTATGATTGTGGGTTCGAATCTCGGTTCGCCCCAATTATGTTTCTAGGTTTGTCAGCACCATACCCGTGCTCTTGGGTTTCACCGAAGTGGTAAACGTCTTGACCTGCATCACTTTTGGCTTTCCTCCCACATTAAGCTGACACGCCGCGATATAATTGGAATACTGTTATATGCGGCGTTAAACCCAACTCACTCATTGTACAGTCTCTTTAAAGATGTTCATAAAAAGTACACGCTTTAAAATATCAACCTGCATTTAAGTAATGATGACTCCCTGAATACGATCCCACCTCGTATTTCTCCAACTTTTAGATGCGATCGTTCGGCCATTATGTTCATCTGTGTTGCCAAACTATTGGGAACAACTCTCTTGACACTACCCTAAAAGAATAACCTCGTCCAATTTACGACGTGATCAGTTGCGAGCGCTTGTTCGAATCTCTGGAACTGACGTAATGATAGAACATTGTTTCACACACACAAGTAATACAACACGTCTGCATGAAAATCAGTGAATGAACAGTGGCTAACTATTCATCACATTCTGTGTCATACACTTCCTTCATCACAACCCAATATGTTGCAAAAACAGATGCAAATACAAATGACTTTCTTGATGTTAACATCCTCTGTTTCAGGTTGGATCCTGAAGAAGGCACATTCATACAAGCCTGTGTTTGCAATTGCTGCAGTTGCCATGGCGATGGCGGCCATCATCGTTTTCCTGTTACAGAAGAAACTTAAGAGAACTTCTATTCAGCTTGAAAGGTCGCGTCGTCGGGCTTTGTCTGATGACGAGACTGGGTATGTTTGTTGTTTTGTATCTCCAGTTGAATATGACAAATATGATTAGAATATTTCTAACACCGCGCTTCAATAGCTTGAGTGCATTCATGTAACAAGTTAGACATCGCCAGTTCTGTGTGATAAATGCTACAGGGAATGCCATTACATTTGTTCACGTCACTTCTGCAGTTATATTATTGGATGTTTTGTATCGGCAAGAAATACTTTCTGTTTTCACTTCCATTGTGTGAATTGCTGATGCAGCTGGTAGCGCAGGACATACTTATTACCCTTTTCGCGAACATATCATCACTGATTTTCAGTGGTATGCTCATATAATTTTCAAAACTATTGTGCCCTTTGTGCCCAATGGAATCTGTTTTGGCGGGTAATCTAGACTGGTTGTCCCCTTGCATTGACAATTTATATTTATTTTGGTTTCAGCATGGTGCTTGTTACATCACTCTGATGAAGCGTTCCTCTTGATGCTAAGATCCGCCTCTTCCTGCCACAAGACCCGTCATGATCTTGGCCCATTTGGCACCAAAACAGAGTAATTACAGTTATTACTTGAGAAAGACTCCACGGAGATTTGACCAACCGTCGGTGTGGATGTGTCCCTCCCAAGTGAAGAAAACGTAGCTAGGAGATAACAAGGGATGGTTTCACAACTGGACCTTAAATAGCGTTCTGACAACAAGTATTACAGGACCAGTTGTTTTGACACCGGGGAACGTTTACAATAGTGTTGAGACAAGGAGAAAGAGCTTTGACCCCATTGTGACTCTGCAACACGTTTTATTGTCATGAACGTTACTTGAACCAGTAGTTTTTATAATGAGTTTCACCTCGACGTGAAGTTGATAGCCAAGATGTGTGTGAAACACATTTGTGACGATCTAACTCTGTTTGTTGACTAATATCTTGTAACATGATACCATTTGTTGGTGCTGTAGTTAAGTAGGCTTGTCCCGTAAGCTGTGAGCCGTCCACTGTATATTTATGCCTAAAATATTTTTTTGTCCTAACACGATCGGTTCCCTCCGTTGCAATGTAGTAATAGACACGACTGTGTTATTTGTAAGTTGCATGTCCCATATTGAAGTCTGTATCTGTACTAACTATAAACAGATCAAACCGTACACAAACAGGCAATACTTGAAGGATCTGAAACTGCGATTCTGCAAGAAGCCTTTTTATTACGGCTAACAAAAGGGAACTACATACATTTCGTAGAAATGTCTACAACATTTGATAATATACATGATCAACTGTACACTTTTGACAATACACATGTACATGTTTTTACCCACTGTAGATGCTTTCTGCCTCTGATGATGTCCGCTGCTGACTTTGTGTATGCGATATGGGATATGTTTTCCTTTTTCATAAAAAAAATATGCTTGCCATTTTGAAGTTTGCCTGGAGATTACTCTACAATCTGCCTATTGTCCTACTAATCAGCAAAACAGTCACTAGCTGTAACTCCTGTATAAGTACCAATTAAAATATTCTTTATCCATTCAAGAAACATGACAATTCCGGCGTGGTAGTAACAGTTTAAAGACAACCTGTTGACAGGACATTGGTACATGACAATAACGTTCGGATGGGTCTTGCTAATTTCAGAAGGGCATGGATCCTAAGGGCATTAACTTCTTGCAATAAAGGAGGGATAATGACAATGATATATCCAGAAAATCCATGACAGAGACCACGTTATGCACGCGTGCGTGTACCCGATGTAACATGTTCACGTGTCTGTTCACCTGAGAGTAAACTCTCATCAATACTACAGTACATCATATTGCCCACGCAACACGTTATCATCATCGTCCATACGGTTGTTGTTCTATTCTCTGAACCGCCCCTCGCAGTGTCGGTAGCACAATGCTGGCATCCACCCACTGACTACATCAGCTCGCTCATCCACCGTCCGCATTTAAACAACTCCACAGTGTTCAAGACGACGCACACATGTACTCTCACATTACTGGATCCGGTAATTGTCACACACCCAGAAATGACAAGACAGGACAAAAACATGGCTTTGGAAATCTGGAGATAAGAAAACGATTCGGAAAAGTTTTGGCTGCTTTTTCGCTGCTATATAAACATGTATGCAGAACTGAACTGGACCACCACATTTCCCCAAGAAACAATGATCGTAAGGTCCAATTGACAAATAAGACAACAAATGCCACTTTGGTTTAAGCTGGCCTTGAATTATATTTATTTTAATCTGCCCAAACTAGCTTATCTGTTATTTGTTTGAAAGAAAAAATGTACTTATCAAAGATATGAATATATTTGTAGCCGATTTGAATTCCTGAAGAGCATGGAAACTATGACAGCTACACCATCCCTCGGTGAAATCAAGTATGGCCACAGAGCGTCATGGTCGTAGTGTCCGGAGAGAAAATAGCTAAATAATGGTTTCAGTGTTCGTTTTGATCGACGCCGTGTTAACGATCTGTTATGCCAATCGACGAAATTTGGAAGACACGTGCCTATGTCATCCCCATTATTATAACAATAACACCTTGACTTAGTACCATGTCCAAAAAGTCAAATTCCATGGCAATGTCATGATTTTTGTATTAGATGGCCTGTAACACCAGTCAATGTACTCGCGCGCAAAGGCCTTCTAGGGACTGTCTACATCTGTCTAAAGTCAGTTTGAAGATTGTATTTAATCACCCATTTCATGTTCAGCATAAAGTAATTCTAAACTGCTCTTAACGTTTCTTGACAGTATTTCTTTTTCAAAAGCTTAACATATAATAGATGAAAATATAAAAGCTTGCCTGTTGGCCTTTGAATATGTGATTAGTTGAATTGAGCAGTGATCATCCATCCCCTTTTGTTCGCCAAACTGACGCCTCACCTAGGTTAAAGTATCTTTACGGAGTGTCACTAATCAGGGATATAGTATGTAGAATTTGGCGATACGTAGTGTTAAACAGCAAGTCGGCAGTGTAGCTACTACCGGGCCTGCTGAGTTAACCAGGTGCCCGTGTGTGGATGTCTCCGCTGACCTCTCGTTACTCGTGGTGACCAGTGGTCAAGGGGTGACAGCTTGCGGATGTTCAGCATCAGTGACCATGTCAATACATCATAGTTCTTCTTGGTAAGAGGTGGTTATGTTAAATGTAATAGATTCAGATTGTGCCTATGAGTCAGTCTGAGCGTCGTATTATCTGAGTATCATAATGTGTGATGTGGTTGATTGTTTTTCATCCTACGTGACGGGGTTGCTGGTTGTTCATGCTATTCGCGGCTGCTTACCTGGTTATTTACAGGGTGCTGAAATCAAGCTAACGTATTACTGACCGCCGCAGGGAAATAATATTCATTCACTATATTATTAGTTATAGTGTCTTTAGTTGCCGTAGTTGCCGAGCCCAATATTTTTCTGCTTACCTAATATGACAGCGTATACGTCATCTAGAGACACCATAACGAATTTATAAGCCGAAAAGTTTACACTAATTGGTATATCAATAGCAATGTCAAAATGAAAACCTGACACTTACAACCGGTATAAACGAGAGGACCAGTACAAATGCTTGCGATACAGTGCTTTAATGTAAACATAAACGTTAACAATGGAATATATAAAGCATTAAATGCGAACGATCAAACAAGTATTATAGCTAAAATGGATAAAGGGAGAAGAAGAAGAAGTTTATTGGGTATCAAAGGCCGCATGCCCAAGAGTTCAAGACATGAGATAAATCTTTGCACATGGACAAGTGGGACCACTGTTATACTGTCTCAATACAATATGTATGATACATTATACAGGCAGATTTCTTTTTAAATATATAGCAATATTTTTAATGAGCTTAACATATTTTGTTGCTACTAGTTGATTAAGTTGTGCTCGTGATGAATACTGGTCATAGTAGCTTGGGATGTAGAGCTTTCTGTTTTCCAGATAAAATGGACAAACTAAAAAGGAAATGGTATTCATCTTCAATTATATTCTGATTACATTTCTTGCACTTAAGTAAATCAGTATTGACTTTGTCATTGTAACGAAAGTGTTGAATAACCTTTTTGCTCAAACATCGGAATTTAAATAATATGCGGATAAGATCCTTGTTTGGAAATAACTCCATAATATATTTCTCTGGTTCGAGTACATACTTATATGTAGAATAATGGTTTAGAAATGATGAAGAAATAATGTTAGCATGCCAATTCTGAATCTCTATGTCTTTACATCTTTGCTTAAAACATTGTATAAAATTTGAAATGCTGCCACACTCCTGTGCGATCCAAACATACGTAAATCCGGTTTCTAACAGCAGCAAACGAACATGCGGTACCCAGTTGTGGCTGCCGTTTTCATCCTGTGATTTCAACATGTCATAACATGTTTTTGGGTATCGACAGCTATCCATATACAACAGTCTGCACCAATACTTTATACAACGACTAAAATTTTTAACACATAAGAAGGTTCTACCTACTTCGCCTAGTACAGAATTGGTTGATACTTTTTAATTAACACATAAATATCGTTTAAAGTAAAAACTCTGAATTTTTTCAATATTTTCACGCGAAGTGTAACCCGAAGTTTCCGAAGCATATAACAATATTGAAGCTATTTTACTTTAATAAGGTAATAATAGGAAACGAAGCCTTTCTGGTTTTAGTGCTAATGCTTCACACGCTTTTGACCAAATTAATCTTGATGTGAAGACAATACTTAGATATTTAAAGTGGGATAGTACTTTCATATGTTTACGATCATAAGTCCATTTTTCTGAATTTCTCAGGTATCCGCCATTTCTGTAAACAACAATACAAGACTTCTCCAGGTTAAATTTAAGGCTCCATTTGTTACAATAACCTTTTAACACATCAGGTTTTCTAGGCCTATTAAAGTGTCATCAATCAATGTTATGTCATCTGCAAATAATATCAGTATGATATCGTTTAGTCCATAATATAAATAAAACAGTACTCAACATACATCCCTGGCGTACTCCACATGATGTTTTAAATATTTCAGTTTTCGAATGTCCGATTCTAACACAAGCTGCGACCCTGTCATACATATCTTTTAGAATTCTAAACATTTTCCCATGTACACCTTTGATAAGAAGTACATACAATAGCTTATTTATGTCAACAAAGTCAAATGCTTTACGAAACTCTATGAGAGCTGCATAGAATCTGTGTTTTGGTTTTCTGAAATACTTTTGACATAAAGATTGTAGGACAAATACATTACCAACTGTAGAGTAGTCATGTCTAAAACCTGCTTGACATTCATGTAATACTTCGTGAACCTGTAGACATAATCTCATCCTGGATTCAAGGATAGATGTGAATATTTTACCCTTTACATTTAGCAAAGAAATACCACGGTTATTATTTTGATCATAAACATCCCCTTTTTATACAATGGGATATCCATGCCGACATTCCAACTATCGGGGAAAACACCGCTACCCAATATAGCATTGGATAATATTTCAAAATATGGTAAAATTGAATGAGCGTGTTTCAATCATTCGGGTGGTATACCATCAATGACCGTGGATTTGCCAATTTTAAGTGACTTGATTGGTTTCTCAATCTCTTCTCTGGTAATACGTTCTGACAGATTATCCATACAGTTACAATAAGTACATTCATCATCGTGGTGTGTCATATATTCATTGACAGTTGCATCAAGTCTATCACTGCTGTTACAACGAGTCGGCTCTAGTAAATCCTTAAAATAAATAAACCACTTCTCTGTCGAGATATGTATCTTCTCATTACGGTTTCTGCAGTAGTGCTTTTATTTTAATCAAAAACCTCTTACAATCGCCATCTGAACGGCTGTGCGGATTTCGTCCGAGATCGTATTGTTGAAATGGTGGCACTTCTCTTTGCACAAAAGGCGGGAGTGTTTCTTAGACTGAATATACCTAGTCAAATTATCATTTGTTCGACATCTCCGAAACGTGTTTAGACGACGATCTTTGGTTCTTTTTTTCTTCTTGTATAAGAAACAGTTAAGGACGGTTGGCTAATGACCCAATGTTTTGTCAAATTATCATTTGTTCGACATCTCCGAAATGGATAAAATTATCATAAGAATGCCCGAATGTTATCAGAAATCTGCGGGCCACTGTAACTTGATAGCGATCCGATTTTCCCTAAAGACGGGCTGCTATCCATATTCTATTGCTATGTGACGTCATATGCGTCACGCTTATCGTTGTGACCTCATCGTATATTTTGTTCTATGACGTTGCTACTTGTAACTCAATGCCCTCCGTTGTAAACTTTATTTCTATATTTTTATTAATAAAGTCACGAACGCGGTTTCTTCAGAAATTAATGTCTTTGCACATCACAATTAATGATATTAAAATACAAAACCGTGTCGCACAACGAAATTCAGTACCAGAATCTTCATTTGAAATATGTGAGGTGGGTGTTGGAAAATCCAAAATGGCTGTTACTGACGGTATACGCTCTCATATTAGGCCAGTAACAACCATCTTAGTAGTTCTGTTCTCTGATTGGTCAATCTCACTTTGAGGCATAACAAAGCTGAATGCTCAGTGAGTGTAGGAGTGTACATTTCATTGAGATATGTGTCAAACTACGCCTACTCTACCTACTCCATGTAGGTGTCCCGCGTGTCGTATATAAATAAATGTCAGCGGATATCGGCAAACGTCATTTTAATATATTTCCATTTCCCGTACCAACGGGAAATTGTCAGTAATCATCTTGTCTAAATTATTAAAATAGATGTGTTTTCAATCTATGAGTCCGTGTTAATTGCGACTATTAAAACTATTATCTCCCTCGGAATCCTAGGAAGTGCGCAGGTCGTAATTCATGAATGGTTTAAGTTTGAGGCAAGGCTGCAAAATCTCGGTGATCCTTGCAGTGTTCAGAGATCAAAGTGAGTATTTTGTTGTCTTCTGCTCTACTGGGAAGGAAACATAAGTGAATGTATTATCATATGTTTAGTTGTATATACCCATTCGAATATTACACAGCCATATGAATGATATCTGCATCTTCGATGTCACATCACTGTATTCCTCATCATTGGACTAATGTAGCATCCTTGCACGGTTTAGACACAGGTTCTAATCCATCCAAACAGTATCAACCTAGTGTGTTATCCGTATATATGTGTACGGTATCATGTCACCAGTATGTCTACGTACAACTGATCATGACTACTGCATAGGTACAGTGCTTATATTATTCTACCTTTATTTACCCCCACGTTCGTGTTGACATGGTAATCTATATTCTGGCATTTTGGAATCTATATTCTGTCTAGCGTCACCTTTATTTCTGTAGCATGGTATCAACATCATTCCATCTTATACGAACATAGATGTAGTGTCTGGGGAAATAAGTGGCCCGGTGCTGAAAGGCGCCAAAATTCACTTTGCAGAGTAACACCCAAAAGGCGTGGCAAGATCCTCTGTTCGTGAGTTCGAATCCCAGATTAGTCCATACTGTGCAAAGCTGCATTAGAACCAGGTCACTACATCATGCCATCTCTCTAAGTGTATGCTGTTTTCATGATGTTATCCCATCCCCTGGTGTATATATACACCATGTCATCTTTGCACATAGTGTATGGTACTGGAAATATACATCATGTCCTTGTGCAGAGTATATATAACATCTTCTCTCCTTGTTTATAAGACATACATTATATCACCGTCGCTCCTAGCATATCTTCTATTCTTCTGTATGATATATATTCTCATATCACCTTCACCTCATGTGTAATGAGCCATTGTCCCCAGTGTAACATATCTACATCATGTAATATCCCCTGTGTATTGACAGTACCTCATGGCATATCCCCTCCTTGTGTACTGACAGTACCTCATGGCATATCCCCTACCTGTGTATTGACAGTGTATCATGGCCTATCCCTCCTAGTGTATGGACAGTGTCTCATGGCATATCCCCTCATTGTGTATTGACAGTACCTCATGGCATATCCCCTCCGTGTGTATTGACAGTACCTCATGGCATATCCCCTCCCTGTGTATTGACAGTACCTCATGGCATATCCCCTCCCTGTGTATTGACAGTACCTCATGGCATATCCCTTCCCTGTGTATTGACAGTACCTCATGGCATATCCCCTCCTTGTGTATTGAGAGTACCTCATGGCATATCCCTCCTAGTGTATGGACAGTGTCTCATGGCATATCCCCTCCCTGTGTATTGACAGTACCTCATGGCATATCCCCTCCCTGTGTATTGACAGTACCTCATGGCATATCCCCTCCCTGTGTATTGACAGTACCTCATGGCATATCCCCTCCCTGTGTATTGACAGTACCTCATGGCATATCCCCTCCGTGTGTATGGACAGTACCTCATTGCATATCCCTTCCCTGTGTATTGACAGTACCTCATGGCATTATTCCCTCCCTGTGCATTGACAGTACCTCATGGCATATCCCCTCCTTGTGTATTGAGAGTACCTCATGGCATATCCCCTCCTTGTGTATTGAGAGTACCTCATGGCATATCCCCTCCTTGTGTATTGAGAGTACCTCATGGCATATCCCCTCCTTGTGTATTGACATTACTTCATGGCATATCCTCTCCTACCTTTTGTACGGTGTAGTGTCCTGTTTGCTACACAATGATATATGTGAGTGAAAGTTAGCAGTTGGATATACAACTAATGATAGGATAAGGATCAGTTACTGCGATGTAGCTTCTTACATGTTACCACGCTATCAAGTCACATACTATCTTGTCATAAGCTGCATGATTATCAGTGTCTCCAATTGTTAATGTGCAACATGTATGCTGTGCCCTCAGGATGAAAGACATTCTCTTCCGGACATCACTGCTGGTGCTGATGACGATTGCGTCTGGCGTCCCACTGCACTTCAATGCCTACGAGGTGTGTGAGTCTCGCTGCATGAGCAGCTTCGACATGTGCACCAGCCTCCGGGGATGTGAAGACATCGTCGACTTTTCGTCCCGCTACACCTGTCAGGAGCCCTGCTTCAATGACGGCGAAACATGTGTTGGAAAATGCGGACAGGAGCATCTGTAACCAACCTTGTTACACGCAGCATTACAGAGCTCGACCCATGTATGCTACGCAGCAAGACTGAACACTCACGTTGTAGGAAAGCGCGGAAATATGCCGCGGTTGTACCACCTTAACATTATTGCCTATAATGCTAGTACCAATGTATGCTATAAGTTATTTAATAATCTGTGTAAACCCTTTGACACATTGTTGATCAGGTGTTTGGATGACTTGCCATTTTGTTTCAATCCACAGATCTCATTTCAAAGAAATCACTGTCAGTGGTTCTTAGTGCATGTACAGTTCAACGTACATGACAAGGCAATGTGACAGTGTAAAGTATAATAGTATGAACATACCTTAAGCCTTCTTTTATTCTGAACGAGACAAATTATTTCCAAATATATTATATACATGTAAAACCATTTGAACCCATCAAATATATCTTAAATAAATTTGTTCGTGTGATTTAACACCTTATTATTACTGGTTGTAAACAGACTGCGAAGTTTACAAAAGCTGTGTTAACTATGGTTTAACCACAAGGCTTAGTCTTTTCGCTAACACCGGGCTTCCCTGTTTCCACCACTTGGCTTCACTGCAATGCTTTCACCACTTGGCTTCCCTGGAATGTTTTCACCACTTGGCTTCCCTGGAATGTTTCCACCATTTGGCTTCACTGCAATGCTTTCACCACTTGGCTTCCCTGGAATGTTTTCACCACTTGGCTTCCCTACAATGTTTTCATAACTTGGCTTCCCTGCAATGTTTTCACCATTTGGCTTCCCTGCAATGTTTTCACCACTTGGCTTCCCCGTAATGTTTTCACCACTTGGCTTCCCTGTAATGTTTTCATCACTTGGCTTCCCCGTAATGTTTTCACCACTTGGCTTCCCTGTAATGTTTTCACCACTTGGCTTCCCTGTAATGTTTTCACCACTTGGCTTCCCTGGAATGTTTTCACCACTTGGCTTCCCTGTAATGTTTTCATAACTTGGCTTCCCTGTAATGTTTTCACCACTTGGCTTCCCCGTAATGTTTTTACCACTTGGCTTCCCTGGAATGTTTTATCCACTTGGCTTCCCTGCAATGTTTTCATAACTTGGCTTCCCTGCAATGTTTTCAACGCTAGGCTTCCCTGCAATGTTTTCATAACTTGGCTTCCCTGCAATGTTTTCATAACTTGGCTTCCCTGGAATGTTTTCAACGCTAGGCTTCCCTGCAATGTTTTCATAACTTGGCTTCCCTGCAATGTTTTCATAACTTGGCTTCCCTGTAATGTTTTCACCACTTGGCTTCCCCGTAATGTTTTCACCACTTGGCTTCCCCGTAATGTTTTCACCACTTGGCTTCCCTGGAATGTTTTCACCGCTAGGCTTCCCTAAAATGTTTTCATAACTTGGCTTCCCTGCAATGTTTTCATAACTTGGCTTCCCTGCAATGTTTTCAACGCTAGGCTTCCCTGCAATGTTTTCATAACTTGGCTTCCCTGCAATGTTTTCATAACTTGGCTTCCCTGTAATGTTTTCACCACTTGGCTTCCCCGTAATGTTTTCACCACTTGGCTTCCCCGTAATGTTTTCACCACTTGGCTTCCCTGGAATGTTTTCACCGCTAGGCTTCCCTAAAATGTTTTCATAACTTGGCTTCCCTGCAATGTTTTCATAACTTGGCTTCCCTGCAATGTTTTCACCGCTAGGCTTCCCTAAAATGTTTTCATAACTTGGCTTCCCTGCAATGTTTTCATAACTTGGCTTCCCTGCAATGTTTTCAACGCTAGGCTTCCCTGCAATGTTTTCATAACTTGGCTTCCCTGCAATGTTTTCATAACTTGGCTTCCCTGGAATGTTTTCAACGCTAGGCTTCCCTGCAATGTTTTCATAACTTGGCTTCCCTGCAATGTTTTCATAACTTGGCTTCCCTGTAATGTTTTCACCACTTGGCTTCCCCGTAATGTTTTCACCACTTGGCTTCCCCGTAATGTTTTCACCACTTGGCTTCCCTGGAATGTTTTCACCGCTAGGCTTCCCTAAAATGTTTTCATAACTTGGCTTCCCTGCAATGTTTTCATAACTTGGCTTCCCTGCAATGTTTTCATAACTTGGCTTCCCTGGAATGTTTTCAACGCTAGGCTTCCCTGCAATGATTCCATAACTTGGCTTCCTTGCAATGTTTTCACCGCTAGGCTTCCCTAAAATGTTTTCATAACTTGGCTTCCCTGGAATGTTTGCATAATTTGGCTTCCCTGGAATGTTTTCAACGCTAGGCTTCCCTGCAATGTTTTCATAACTTGGCTTCCCTGCAATGTTTTCATAACTTGGCTTCCCTGCAATGTTTTCATAACTTGGCTTCCCTGGAATGTTTTCAACGCTAGGCTTCCCTGCAATGTTTTCATAACTTGGCTTCCCTACAATGTTTTCATAACTTGGCTTCCTTGCAATGTTTTCACCGCTAGGCTTCCCTACAATGTTTACACCAATTGACTTCCCTGTAATGTTTTCACCGCTAGGCTTCCCTGCAATGTTTTCACCACTTGGCTTTCCTGCAATGTTTTCACCACAAGACTTCCTGTCAACATGAAGCCTTCAGACACTCTCATGACCAAGTCTTGACGACCTAGGAACTATCAACTGGGGCATAAATGAATGTTTTTTGTCATTATAATGTCGCAGCTGCAGTGTGCTGGACAGTTTCAGATTTGATGGAGACACTAGTCATTCATTGATCCCTCGAAGTAGAATATATACTTTTCATATTTGTCCTGACCGGATTAATTATTTCGAGAGCTGACCTGCAACATTTCTGTTCGCTCGAATATTTATTGTTGTGAGTGAGTGAGTAAGCGGCGCAACAGTAAGAGAGGAGTTGTCTCCCTTGTATAAGAACAGCCTTATGTGTTAACTGAAGGCATATGTATATGCGCTCGCCCACGGTCACGCTTTGTGATTTCGATACGAGCAAAAGGCCCTGTGTCCTTCAAACAGGATCCCATTCAACATACCAACAATCACCTAGTCAAGAGGACTGTCTCGACAAAGTATTTCGTAGCCGCATGCGGTCATATCATGCATATTGTATGTTTAATGCAGGACAAAAAGCAGCTCTGACGCGTACAATCTCGCAATGCAGATCGACACACCAGTCAATATAAATAGCGCATGCATGTGATTATAGACGCATTGCACATTCCTCAATGAACAGGTTGAATAAGTACAGGGACACCCTGTGCAGTGCTTATTGACAGTATTACTCATGCTTTCTAACGGTTACGGCCCTTATCATATGAACGTTTCATTGGCCACTCATAGGATCTGTATCAACCTGTTTGCAGACAATTAATTACCATTTCTTAATCCGGAAAAGGAAGAATCTAAATTCAAGATGCACGAAAAATAGAAAGACTTGCAAAAGTACACTGAATAAGACAACACAGCTCTAAGAAGCAACAATGTAATCTCTGTGGCAGGCAATTTCTTGTTTTTTCACAGGTCTGAAGCATAATAATTTTTCTCGACAATTCTCAGTGGTACATAAATGTATTTTTTCCACTTTGCATTTAACACAGAACTAAATGAAAACACAAATTAAATACATGTAAATGTGGTACAATAAGACACGGTCATATAACACAACTAACTATCCGTAACTCTCTGTTATAACTACAGGAATTTATTCCGGGTGGTAATAGTAGTAGTAGTAGTTGTCGTAGTAGTAGTAGTCGTAGTAGAGGTGGTGGTTGTAGTAGTAGTGGTAGTAGTAGTGTTAACAGTAGTAATAGTAGAGGTGGTGATGGTAGTGGTGGTATTTGTAGTAGTAGTTATGATGGTGGTGGTATTATTATTGTTGTTATTATTATTAGTAGTGGTATTATTATTATTATTATTATTATTAATTGTAGTAGTATTAGTAGTAGTAGCAGCAGCAGCAGTAGTAGTAGTAGTAGTAGTAGTGGATGTAGTAGTAGTGGATGTAGTAGTAGTGGATGTAGTAGTACAAGGTAGACACAATTTTATGGATAGCAGTAACAGTATTAACGAAGTTGTCCATAAAATTGTGTCTACCTTGTCACCCGTTAACTTCTAAGTAATCCCTATCAAACAAGTTAGAGGTAGTGGTAGTAGTAGTAGTAGTACGAGAAGTTGTAGTAGTAGTGGTAGTAGTAGTATAGGTGGTGGTAGTAGTAGTGGTCGTGGTTTTATTATTATTATTTTTAGTAGTAGTAGTAGTAGTAGTTGTAGTAGTAGTAGTAGTGGTATTGGTGGTGGCGATCACTTTTCAAAATATGTTACTTAGTCTTACAAAGTAAATATTTATACCAAGCATGGAGTCATATGTGATTTTACGGCAGTATTAACTGAGTCAATCGCTAGACAATACAATTTTGATACATAACATTCATTTGTATAGAAAACAAAGTTATGTTAAATAGTCCTTTGCTAACTGTTTGGCATATTTACAACACAACTAACAATGTTTTGACAAAGCTAAGCATCAATCTACACCTGGCACATTTTACACAAGAATAACTAGCTCACGAATTATTTTTATTGATGAACGTTCAATTCATTTCGAAATGCGTCGGTAGCGTCTAACACCAGAGTGTATTCTCTCTCGTCCTCAATTTCCTCGCTGCTGTCACGACTATTTTGACTAACCACTGACGCATATCGATATGGACGACATGTGTAAGGTCACTGAGCGACAATTCAACGTTTTCATCGACGGCATTGTCAGGTGATGCCATTGCGAACGCTAGTCATCTACCAAACACCGTACAGAAACAGTGATCTGCAAGTCATCTCTCCACTATGACGTCACGTCGCGTGATGACAACTTTGCTCATTAACTCTCGGTACGAGTAGGCTGTAACTTTTATGGTAACAAATATTGCATTTGGAAGTTTTTCCTTCAATACACTTGTTTCAATATGCTTTATAAATGATTTAATCCCATATTTATAGTTTACTGTAAATCTCCTTTCGGGGCTAAAACAAGGACTGGTCGGCTCGGAGTCAGTATACCGTGTCCGAGTAGGGTATTCATGTTGAACTGCGGCATGGTATCTCAGTGGGTTAGCACTATAAAATCGGGATAAATGCAGACGAGTACGCATTAGTCGGAGAGCGCACGTTAAATCTCCAAAGTAAGTAAGTAAGTAAGACGAGTACTAGCAGCCACATATACACACGTGCGTGCACGTCTCTTTAAAAGTGCAATAACCTTGAACGAGACGTTAAACCCCAATTAATCCCAACTCTTTTTAGGAGACATAGAGTTGTCGTCCTTTCACAGTTTACCACAAGAGGGCTCTGGCACTTGTTTATATTTGTCCTAAAGCTTACAGTCTAGAAACATAGTCTTCAACAGGTAAGAACATCAGATATCAAGCGTGTAACCCTTTACCCGACTCTTCTAATGTACTGTATCCCTTGACTTGTGAAACACTGTAATGTAATGGGTAAGACGCCCGACTAATGCCCACTATGTATGCAGATATATGGTACTTGATTCTTACGTTTTACTTCCTGGTCTCGGGTCAGAGAGGCATATATAATCGCGGGCTTGACGTCAGCTCTTAAAGTAGAAGTGTATATTTTGAAAACGGCCCATGTAATATGTTCTTCTCCCTGATATATATATATATATATAGACGTATGTACAAAACCTTAATTCCATTTCGATAGAGCACACGGCTATTTACACAACGGTATAGTACATTGGATATCTATAATGAACGTATATTCAGTTATAGTGTTTAACATCAATATACAGAATGACAACGCCAATGCCCTTAGTGACCGTGTTGGTCTTACAGACGATTTCGAAATAGGTGTAATTTTTGGCAAATAGGGTTTTCCTGGTAGAAGTCTTTATAGCATGAGCTGCCTAATTTCTAACTGGCCTGACACAAAGTAAACGTTCTACTAAGATTGTTAACGAAACATGGATTTAAGTATCTTTCTATTTGTGATATATTTTCAAAACGCTGTCTCCCTAGCATATACATATATTTCATGTGTTTTTTAATTTGGCATTTTTGACCAAATAATATAATAACTCTTTTGGGAGAATGTTGAGAGTTACCGTGTATATGAATTTGCACCAGCAGACAAACCTGTTTCTAGTATAACAAGAAGAATAGGGTGATACGTCATACATAGTTACCCTATTGTTATGATAACGCCCATTTGTGGCAACTCTTAAAATGTAAATAATAAGAAGTGAATAACTACCCTTTATCTGACTCAACACAGAACCAGTACAAGGGGCATTACCCCGGTGTAGGTACCAGTGTCTTCTGCGAACCATATTGCTGTTGATTAAAAGTGTCAATGCAAGACAATAGCCAGTCTAGATTATTGGCCGAAACAGATTCCATTTGGTGTTAAGGGCACAATAGCTGTGAATTTTATAAGAATGGACCACTGAAAATTAGTGATGACACGAAAAGCGTATGAATACATACATAAATGTAAATGAATAAGTAGTTTAGCATATGTTCTATTCGTCGGGAAGTGACGTGGTTCATTGTGCAGAACGACAAACATCGTCTACAACCCACGTACTGTTGTTACATGTCTGTAGATTGTTCCCTCTTACAGATACTGAACAAAGTCAAGGAAACGGAAGACAAACCAGCATTTAAAACCACGGAACAGATGGAACCAGTAAGAATCACGGACATTAGTCCTTCATGTATATAGTTTGGTGCGTGTGTAGGGTAGGGTAGGGTAGGGTAGGGTAGGGTAGGGTAGGGTAGGGTAGGGTAGGGTAGGGTTAGGTTATTTAACTGGAACATTCTGAGGGATACCAACCAAGGGACCGATGATGTCATATTCATGGAAATTTTATTTTGCCTCAGATTTTACCGGGTAAAGTTTGTACTGGAATTCCTGAATAGAAACGCCAGTAGTCGTTTGAAGACATGAAAAAAAATCCAATACCTCTTCCAGCATATTAAATATGTGTGTGTGTGTGTGCGTGCGTGCGTGCGTGCGTGCGTGCGTGCGTGTGTGTCTGTGTGTGACTGTGTGTGTGTGTGTGTGTGTGTCTGTGTGTGTGTCTATGTGACTGTGTGTGTGTGTGTGTGAATAGCAACAGATTCGCATGAGTTTCCCCCATACATTATTCTGGCTGATGTATCATTATAACAATGCCAACTGTGATACCAAACTGAGGCCAATACTCCGATCCACTTAACCCCACACCCCAAACAAATATCTCAACCTCCACACCCCGTGTCTACTTTTTTACTGTGTTCAATAATAGGCAATAGTCATGGTTAGGATCAGCGGATCCAGGAATCTTTCAAAGGTTCATATTCTTGACATCATAGAATTCCTTATATCATATTATCAATTAGGGTAGAATGATCGTGTGTCATATAATGACGTCATCAATTGTTCATGACGTCATACATTGATTTCAATACGAAATCTTAACAATAGGCTGCCTGCATTGTATTTGCTCTGTAGGGTTGACATTTCCAAAAACACCAATGAGGAATGTATAGCAACCTACTCGGAAATATGGATACTCTGTCCCTCGAGAATTAATGATGAAAGGTTCGCGACTTCCACAATGCATTCATTCGGGACATATAAATCCGAAATTCCTCGCAGCTCTTTGTTATTCTCTAAATCGTATTCAGATAACCATGACTTTTGTTTCTGGCAGGTTAACAACCCTGGGAACAGTGCCAGAGCGGGTGAACAGAAACATGTCGACTCTCCGCAGAAACTCACTAAAGAAGCACGTTTACAATTAATACATCTTTTGAACGACACCTTACTGCATACTGCACATTGCAAAGATCCAGCATGCACTATTCTAAAATGCAAAATGATGAAGAAAGTTATCGGACACACAGAGTCGTGTGAAAGGAAGCGGACGGGTAGCTGTTCGATCTGCAGACAGCTTATTGCACTGTGTTGTCTCCATGCAAAACGATGTAACGAAACACTCTGTTCGGTTTCCTTTTGTGAGAGGCTGAAACTTAAGATGCGGCAGAGGAGAATAGAAGAAAGGTTACGACAAGTCCGGCGACAGCGAGGTAAACCGCCTGCAGCATAGTGTGAGGCAGTCTTTACGTAGTCAGCAAACTACTGAACATCCCATCCTGTCCGGTACCACTGCAGATAGTTCCATGCTTTGTCCTCGCCACACAGCGTATGTCAGGTGTCAGAATCAGTTCTCACTGGTTAGAACCCCACCTTCTTTATGGTGAGTGGGTGCGTAAATATCTTACAGTTATTCGCGGCTCCGTATTGTGAGATGGCTTTGTTAACTTTACATCTATCCATATTTATGACCTGTTATATATATTGTAAATAGTCCATGGACGTATACCAGAATATATCGTTTTGTGTATAACCGTGTATATGTAATTTTCTATTGGCACTTTCCCTTTTATTTATTCTACCGTTCGTCTGTGAACTTAAGCATATAGTAAAAACGTTTCAAGATTGCAAATGCGTTTTTGTATCTAGAACTCACTAGGGCTGTATGTTTCTAGAGCAGATTTGAACGGGATATTTGGAAAGCAAGGCCTTGCTGGGTACGATGCTGCTGTATTATTGAGATAATCGTATCTAAAATTCATCTCTGGTGCTTGGGGGAAATGCAACCCAAATCTCATCGATCAATCTGTACAACTCGACAAACAACGATTAACGGAACAAGGTGGATATTTCATGAGACAAACGGATGACTGAGGAATTGTGAAGATTCTATAATTCACAAAAATGAGATCTTTCGTTTTGAAAAAGCCTGGCAAAACAACGCCGACTGTTTTAACAATCTTTATATATATGTGAACTCTCTTGTCGAATGTGTTAATCGATAATACGTTATACATCACCTTTAGCCTTAGTTCCAAATCAAAGATCGCTGTGTAAGTAACACGAAGATCTTGACATATGCTGGTGCTTTAGTGGTACGATGCTATGTGTATGGATGAAGGAATATGTCTATTATTGTTATCACTGGAGTTCTGTTACGTCATATGTTGTGGTGATGAGGTGACATAGAGATATGACATCAGTGTGATGTGACAAAGTAAAACCCTTTCTTGATTGCTTGCTGAACTGACTTATACCATACATTGTAAACAAGTTACCGTTGTTCGAAACATTAATTTGTTAAAGTATGAACTACAAGTACACACCCGTGAAGGTCCTAGTTAGAATAGGTGCTCAGCAAACCATGCTTGCCGTAAAAGGCGACTATGCTTGTCTTTAGAGGCGACTAACGGGATCGGGTGGTCAGGCATGCTGACTTAGTTGATGCATGCCATCGTATCCCAATTGCGTGGATCGATGCTCATAATGTCAATCACTGGATTGTCAGGTCAATACTCGATTATATACAGACCGCCGTCATATAGCTGGAATATTGTTGCGTGCGGCATTAAACAACACATAAACAAACAACAAGTACGTGTCGAAAATGGTCATTCATACTGACGCTGCTGTAACTGTTATTTTTATTTATTTTTAACATTATTCTATTCCACAATAAACTATTGAAAATGAAAACTATCTACTGTGATCTTGTTTTCTGCTAACACATTTATTCTTGGTTGTCACGATCCTGCCACTCAGTGTTGCTGATCCAAGCCAATATCAGTCCCAGCCAGCCATTACTCAAACAGTAAGCCGAATCAACCTATCAGTGTCCTGTATCAGAATCGGAGTCACATGGAAAGTATAAAAAAACCCAAAGGATATGACGAATTCATACAAACAAAACATATATCCCTGTACAATATCAGACTCGTTAACTCATGTGAAAAAGGTTGTGGACTGTTAAAGAGTCTTCGACAATCCCACATCTGACGTTCTTTTTTCACCTGAAAGTGGTATGAAATCAACAAACACAATTCCGAATTATCAGCAACACCTACCACTGACAAAGAAAGCATTAATCTGTCCCCGTTAGGAATTTGCTTCACTTTGGGATATCTAATTAAATAATGTGGCGAAATATTTCCTTGTTTTTCAGAGATCATAAAGTACACATACAAAGTCCGACTGTTATGGGAACACAGAAGACATCAACATATCCCGGTGTCTTGAAGTGTGACCCTGTATCGCCCACGTGTCTAGACATTGTGATTTATGTCCCGTCAGTTCTATTAACAAAGTAACAGCACAGGGGACATGTCCTCTATATAATACCCATTGTAAACTTTGACCAGCTATAAACTGTTGTTATTGGTGATCTACCCAGCAACGGCCTCGCAAGTAGCTATGCTTTATAACACCTGTTCAGCATATGACCGCCTCTTCCTTGTTATTTCACGTTATACCTACTCCACAGATGTGTGTTTACGATCAGATGGGTAACTCGGGAGCCTAGGACCTGTCCGACGTATTTGGACTCAACACTTTCCTGTTCATCGATTTCAGTATATATAATTGTAAACGTTGTTCGGTATTTGATCTAAATAGAAGACTTGTATTGATGAAGCATTGGGATGTTGTCAAACCGTAAGCCCGACACGCGCCAGCCTGATGTGATACACACAGTGCACATTATCCAAGTATAGATTCCCGAGGCGTGTCTTTCATGTAGGTCAATGCAACAGGTGGAACAACATGTGTATTAACTAGATACGCCTGTTTATCTAAAGGATCGACCAGTCGATATTCTGAAGGGATGTGGTGTGTGTATGTGGTGTGTGTGTGTGTGTGTGCGTGCGTGTGCGTGTGAGGTGTGTGTGTATGGTTGTTTGTGGTGTGTGGTGGTGGTGGTGGTGTGTGTGCATGCCAGTGGTGTGTGTGAGGTGTGTGTGAGTGCGTGTGCGTGTGGTATGTGTGTGGTGTAAGTGTGGTGTGCGTGCGTTTGGTGTTTGTGTGCGTGCCTGTGGTGTGTGTGAGGTGTGTGTGAGTGCGTGTGCGTGTGCGTGTGCGTGTGGTATGTGTGTGGTGTGCGTGCGTTTGGTGTTTGTGTGCGTGCCTGTGGTGTGTGTGAGGTGTGTGTGAGTGCTTGTGCGTGTGGTATGTGTGTGATGTAAGTGTGGTGTGCGTGCGTTTGGTGTTTGTGTGCGTGCCTGTGGTGTGTGTGTGGTGTGTTTGTGTGCGTGCGTGTGGTGTGTGTGCGTGTGGTACGGTGTGGTGTAAGTGTGGTGTGCGTGCGTTTGGTGTTTGTGTGCGTGCCTGTGGTGTGTGTGAGTGCGTGTGCGTGTGGTATGTGTGTGATGTAAGTGTGGTGTGCGTGCGTTTGGTGTTTGTGTGCGTGCGTGTGGTGTGTGTGTGGTGTGTTTGTGTGCGTGCATGTGATGTGTGTGTGATGTGTGTGTGTGGTGTGTGTGAGGTGTGTGTGTGGTGTGTGTGAGGTGTGCGTGTGGTGTGTGTGAGTGGTGTGTGTGGTGTTTGTGAGGTGTGTGTGAGTGGTGTTTGTGAGGTGTGTGTGTGGTGTGTGTGAGGTGTGCGTGTGGTGTGTGTGTGGTGTGGTGTGTGTGAATGCGTGTGGTGTGCGTGTGGTGTGTGTGTGGTGTGTTTGTGTGAGTGCGTGTGGTGTGTGTGTGGTGTGTGTGTGGTGTGCGTGTGGTGTGTGTGTAGTTTGTGTGAGGTGTGTGTGTGTGTTGGGACTTTGTATCGCGATAAGATATTATTTCAGCTACAGCTGCAAACCAGATTTATTTTAATTTTAAAACATTGCACATTCCTCAATGAACACGTTTAAGAAATACAGAGACGGTACACCATGTGTCATGTTTGTTGACAGTATTAGTCATGCAACAACCATGCAACAATGTACTTTTCGTGGCAGGCGATTGCTTTTTTTCAACAGTAATAATCATTGTTATCAAGAAATTTACGGGACAAATTATTTTTCGATAAAATCCCAGCCCCCTACATAATACATACGTGTTAAGGGACCGACCCCTCATTAGAAATTCGGGGGTGGGTGGATCCTTACATAGCTCTGCATGTATGCTTGGAATTTTGTGTATAGACATTAATAGGGTATGCATTACAAACACATTAGTCTTTCCGTTACGAAAATATATATAATTCAATCTAAAATGGTAAATAAGTTTGACATGTCAAGCATTTGGAAACAAATAGAAGACTCGGTGTATGCCGTCGAGATAAGTCTGGTATATATAGTGTATGCGTCAGATAGGTACACATCATTGTGGGTGCACCCTGTGTACACCTATGCTTTGACAGGACCCTTAACCTGCACATAGCTGAAGCGACACCGGGACCACACGCAATACCACAGACAAGGGCTTAGAGTTATCCACCTTTCATACCTGCCACTAGGGGGCCATGGGCTCCAGACTCCGGTCATGTTTGGCATCGTGTGTTGCGTTCAGGCCTGCCTGCGTCAGCAAGGGGGAACCAGGTAAGTCTATTATGATACTACTGACCACAATCTCCGGCCAATCTGGACTGTAAGCTGGATCTCGTTTCCCCCGATGTATTGAATCGTTAGAGAGATGAATATACGCGAGCTACGAGTTATTCATGCGCTAACTTCCTGGTGACAACAATAAGGCTCTACCCCTATGAATAGACGAGACGCGACAGTCAGTGAGAAGTGAAACCTAGTTAATGGCTGGATTGTAGGTTGTTTTCCGGGTTGTAGAACGGGTCAGGCGGTTGAGGATATGTCCTCGGGGTAACCGCAGAACGATTTGGGTATGACAAATAAATCGAAGTATTATTTTTTACTGGGTTAATATTTCAACTGTGTAAAACTAAGTATGTACAATATAACCAAGTATTAGGTAGAAAATTTCCCTATCGATGAATTTAGTAATTTTTGAACATAACACACTTTTCGTGGTCGAAATACCCTGTGTTGGGGGCAATGTCAGTCGTCTGACGCCATCGGCTACTGGATCACCTGGATCCACTTAGTGTAGCATAATATATGTTTCGCATACAGATCAAATACGGAAACTCAAATAGGGTATCTCCTATAGAATTACATATTTAACTGAACAGAGTCTTAAACATAACAGATACAATGTCGAAATTGATTTGTTTCATCATGTTCATTTTGCCTGTGATGGAAAGAGTGTGATTATCATAAGTGATTATCATTTTATGACTGTTCACTGCAACACATGTGTTCAATCTAATTAGGTATCAATAAAGCCATACTCCATCTTATTAAATTCCCCATGGGGCGGTTAGGTAGTCTGGCGGTTAGGTCGCCTGGTAGTTAAAACGTTCTCTTGTCACGCCGGACGCCCGGGTTCGATTGCCCACATTGGTACAATGTGTGAAGCCCATTTCCGTGATATTGCTGGAATATTGCTTAAAGCGGCGTAAACCTCACTCACTGTTCCCCATTTATCAGTTGTACCAGTCAAGGTAAATCCCTGAATTTGGTAGCAATATTCGTTTTGCTGTTGATTGATAATTTCTGTAAGTCACCCAATATTGGTTAATTTGGATTATGTTTTCCACGTTTAGACGTTTACCACTTGGGAACGGAATCGCGGTAAATCTGGGATTCAAACCCGCGCCTAGCGGATCCTGGAACGGTGTCAAGCCAGGACAACAGTCCCATCGGTGACACTGACATTATATCAAAGTCGAACAGTTTCAAATTAAAAGTCGAAGTGCTTTTGGTTTGTTTAACTTCTGTTCTCCGTGGTGACCACCTCCGAACTTTTGTGGGTATGGCGACTCCCCCGAGAACAGAAAGTCTGTTGTTCGATCTCATGGTCACGTCATACCAAAGGACGCTGAGAGAAGGTACTTGTTGTTACCCTGCCTACCTCGGCATATGGGGATAAAATGACTGGATGGCTTGAATCAGTATAATGTGTATGCGCGAGACGAGACCCTCATTAAACCCTCGTTTCCCCCATCTGTTCTTTGTTCTCCGTTCACCTGTGGTGGCACGTGGTCATGTGTACGCCCCAGGGCGCCTTCCGTTGTGCCCTCCCCAGGGCGCTGAGAATGAAAATCGAGTACACACGATTCCCGTTGACTTCAGTAATTATGATGTGGCTTGAGTAAGCCCCAGTGTGGTGTGAAAATATAATAGCATCATAATTATGTGCAGATAAAGATAAACAATGCAGCAAAGAGGGCTTGAGTGACCCTTGCACAGTCAGGCTGGTTTGGCTTTATTATTATTATTATTATTATTATTATTATTATTATTATTATAATTATTATTACACCCCCCAAGCCGATGACGTTGCCACAGGGCCCGAGAGGCGTTCCTTTCAAGTAGGATTGTTGTGATGTTTCTTTTGTCAGCACCGTACCCCTGCTAGTGGTTTCAGCAAGGTGGTAAATGTCAAATACCTACACCCTTCAGGCTTTCCTCCCATATAAGTTGACACACCCTTTTTTAACTGAGGTGCTGTTTATAACTGCGTACAACCAAACGTAATCAATACAACCGAATATAACTGACATATGCCTGGTTGGATTTTTGTGTTACAGATGCCGAGAAAACTTGCACAGATGAACCTGTAGAGGTGACAGCAACATTGAAAGAGGGAGAGATTGATACAGTAAGATGTTGACAAGCATGCGTTGAGCATCTTATTCGGTTTTGCTCGAATAGTCTATCTGGAAACCGTGCTTCAAACACGTCATTGCGCCCCTCGTGGCTTATTCTCCCTACAGTGTTTTATTGCACGATTAACAACCCCCACTCGTCGTTCATTTCATATCTGAGATATCAACATTATTTACAAGCTCCCCAAGCATGTTAGTAAAATTTACAAGCTTTAAAAATATTTGCCCGTATTCAAATAAGGATGACCCCTGAATACAATCCGAATCGGCAATATCGGACAAGTCCATTTTATAAACAGGGGTTAAGATTGGTATTTCCTGAATATTCTCACAATTCTCACTGCCATTATCGGTACCTTTTCTCCTAATACCGATTTTCTTATCTCTTCCATTTTGTGATGCGATCGTTCGGCCATTGTATTTAACCTGCGTTGCCCTGTTACATCCATGGGGACCAACTCACAAAACCCCGTGCCGATCCGGGCTAGAATAGGTCTTCAGCAACCCATGCTTGCTGTAAAAGGCGACTATGTCGAAAGAGGCGACCAACGGGATCGGGTGATCAGGCTGTACCTATATTGACATACAGTTGGGGGTCCAGGGTACAGGGTAGTCTATCATACAGACCCTGAAACAAATATGTCCAATACATCCTATGTAAGTCTATCATATTTGGCAAGTCTAGATAATATCAGTCTGGAAATGAACAGAGTCTCTAGGCTCTGTTTTATTATATTTCATAGCTACAATTTAACAACTGTTTTTTTGTCTGTAAACTATGTTCATTTCAGAGACTAGATGTTAGTCTAGGTACATGGTTTCACTGGAGGGTATTCAGACAGTGTTTCTTTTCTTGGCAGGTTGACAGTAAGACTTCCCCCGGAGATGGAGAACAGGATGTCGGCGACAAACCTGCACCGCCCAAGAAGACGCGCAAGCAGGAAATAGAGGGCTATGTGCAGTCGTTAGTACATGCCGTGAAATGTAAGGACCCTTCCTGCACTGTAACGGATTGCCAGAGGATACGAGAAGGCGTCAGACACATGCAAACATGCACCAAGAAGATGAGTGGCGGATGCACGACCTGTAAACAGTTAATTGCTCTGTGCTGCCATCATGCCAAGAGCTGTCGTAGTGACGATTGTCAGCTTCAGTTTTGTGTACAACTGAAAAATAACTCGCGGAAAACGTGATTACAAGGAATATTTAATCTGCCGTTGCTACAACTGAAGTTGGATGCAATGTTTACAAATCACCTTGGTCTTGAGAAACACTTTAAGGATAATTATCAATGAACAGTAATTGTTCAATCAGGTCTGGATTTTAAAGAGTTTGGTTAAAGTAGAGTGCCAATTGGGATGTTTTGTTTTTTTATATACGAGTTAACATCATTGACAAAAGCACTATTAAGGTATGATATGTATATATATAAAATAATGATCGATCTCTTATTTATCCTCAAATAATCTCTACAATGCGTGTTCCTTGGGAATTGGAAGATTGGAAGATCTTCAGGAGTCTTCTACTTGATATTCTGGGCGAGGAGGGGCGAGGAATCTGTTCACAAAAGACATATAAAAATAATTTGCCCTCAGTTTTTGCAATGAAAAATAGAAAAAAATGATTCCTTCACTGGATATGGTTGATATTTAGTAATGTAATTAATTTGTTTTGAGTTACAGATAAGAATTATACTTATTTACTGACAAAATGCTCCGTCTCAAACAAATCGTCCAACCCAGAATATAACATGGTCGTCTCTTTCCCTCGCCACGAAAGCGGCTTTATTATCATGTTGTTTCTGTTTATAGTTTATAGTCATCATGGTTACATGTAGATCTGCTTTATAGCCTGTCGAATGCTCGCGTTGCTTCCTGTCTAGCCAGATTGTCAGCTATACCAAATTTTGTTATGTTCTAGGTTTTCTGTTAATCTGTTTGACTGGCGATATTGTTCCCACACACATGTACACATCTCCAGTCACGACAACTGACGGCTGCTGTGGCAGAAAAGGGATGTTTTACATGTTGGTTAGCGTATGACCAGTGAACCTATTGCTTGTTTGAGCGCGCTGCTTTGAGAAATATATGTATATTCTGTCAACACAAATCCGATCTTCCGATGACATTTCAATTAATTACATGTATTTCGAACAAATGTTTTATGGTACGGGCGCTCCTATTGGTTGTTGGAAGGATAGACTAACCAATAGTTAGATCCGAATGTTGTGTTGTTTCTTACGAACAACGCGGCAGTGGAGGTTTAAATTCAGGTAGCGATTTATTTCAACTCATTTGGTAAGGGGATCATTCAGCTAATGTAACTTTCAGTGATAGGATGTAGCTGTGGGGATATTTTTGGACGCTTCAAACGTGAAAGATTTTATGCGACGTCGTTATGGTTTAGACACGATGTTTAATGGGATGGATGGAATAAACCATTTGGAAATCCTGTCGCTGTGTGATATTTTACATTTGTGAAGTATTTCAATAACGCTTCCATCGGTGTTGACCAGATAATTACAACAATTACGTCTTTTGACTGACAGAGACATGTTTTAAATGCTTTTTGTATTTTATTTATACGTGTTACGATGATCAATAAACTGTTGATAATAACGGCTTGTATGTAATACATTTCCTTTACACGTCTCTGAACCCTTCACAGGATTCCGGGGCAGAGTGCCCAACAGAAATACACTTCTTCAGTGTTAATCGGGTGTGAACGCACCATGCCATTCGAAAAAGGTCAAATGTAACAAATGTAATATTTTGGAAAACGTTTTCTTAGAAAAGTACAAAGCACACAAAGTCAGAGATCTAATCCGCTCAACTGGTCGTCCAGATTACGTATTACTTGTCAGAGGGGTACACAAAGTGCGTGATCTAGCCTACCTGTTGGCGGACTTTCATTTAGTGGAAGCCTCGGTGGCTGAGTTGGTTAGATCTCTTTGTATGCTGGCGGCTAGGTGCCTCACTCTGGCAGTGTGGGTTCGAATCCCGTATGGGACTCCATCGAGAATCTGTACTTAATTAAGAAAGTGTTATCCCAAATATAACATTTGTTAATCGGGTGGTTACAATACATTTATTGGCTTGTCATGGGTCATCGAAACTCCCGACGGCAAGGATCATTGCTACTGTTATCAGCCACTGGTTCCTCTGGTACTGATTATGTAAAGAGCGCCATAAAATAGATGTATCCTTGTGTCACATGTACACACATTGATACAGGTTGATAATATAGTCTCTTTGGTGTTATGAAACCAATTGGCAAGGATAATTATATACTCGTGTTTAATGTGTCTCTGTCCCGTTTCTAAGTGACCGCCTCCGTGGTCTAGTGGTAGAGCGGAAGGTCCGTGGTTCGAAACCCGACCGCGTTATACCAAAAGACGTTAAAAGATGGTACTTGTTGTTACCCTGTCTGGCGATCGGCATTAAGGGGCTAAAACAAGGACTGGTCGGCTCGGAGTCAGTTTACTGTGTCTGAGTGGGGTATTCATGTTAAACTGCGGCATTGTATCTCAGTGAGCTAGCACTATAAATCGGCATCAGTCCGGACTAGTACAAGCAGCCACACAAACACACACACGTACATGCACGTCGCTATATAAGTGCAATAATCTTGGACGCGACGTTAAACCCCATTTCACCTCACCTCACTCCATTTCTAAGTGATTAATTCTGTGATAGTACAGCCAAGGTGCTAAAGCGATTGCTTATCACGTTGAAGACGCCAGTTGACACCCCCGAAAGGGTTATGTCTAAAGCGGATTCGCGATGTCTCCTTTGACGTAACATTAGCTCACTCATTTTCGCATGTTATAGGCAGAGGTCAACAGTACATTTTCGCATGTTATAGACAGAGGCCAATGTCAGTGCATCTTCGCATTTTATAGGCAGAGGTCAACAGTACATTTATATCTTACCGTCGAAATCAACGACGGACGAATTAGTACTTAGCTTTGCATGTGTTTGTGACGAGTGCCACCGGTGGGGCAGGATACCTTGTATTATCACTCTTTGATAGTGACACAAACAAAATTTAATGTTCATGATATAGTCGGAATTGTACAATCGACTCGGCTTTCAGCGGAGATTTCTTTATATGAATATAGAAAGGGTTTTGTCGCTTTTATTTATTTGCATGGGAACACATTTTTCTTGTATTGAAACGAATTACCGTGTCGAGTGACTTTGTGTGCTCATCTTTTAATAATTTTTTAATTTGAAGTTTACACGATATACAGCTTTTCCATTGGACGAGAGAGCGGTCACATGACCGCGAAATTGACGTTCTTAAGTGTATGAACGACACAATTTGACGTTCATACGTTTTCCACGAGACCGTGTTCTTGAAATGACGTAAACACTGATGGACTACTTCCACATTCCTGGGGAAACCCCTGGGAATTCCCCAGCACGAAAACACACATAAGCGTTCTTTCTCATCATTTAGAACCTTTATTCGTGGTCTCAGCGTTTCAGTATACATTGAGAAATGTCAGAGAGCGTGACTGCATGATTGTTCACGAATATCCTCGCTGCGGCCCATCCTAATGAACAAACGATGAAATGCACATCTAAACTATCGTAGTGTCGACTCGATCCGTGCCTAGGCTGACATTGACCGTCTCCAGCAATCTATGAATTTACCTTAGTGTCTGTTTGACGCATCTTTATTCACCTTTCAATGATCGGCCAGTTGATCAATGATGACTAACACATGTATCCGCCACACGTTCATTAACAACTTGGGAAATCTCTCCCGTCACGTTTATCGTGTCGGCCAATTTGACGTCTTGTACTTGATGTAAATGTATTACGACGCGCTGTCATTGTGACTGACTTACTGAGGTAGTTCTTTACAGACCTTTCTCATCTTATGAGGATATGATTTGAACACACGTGCTGCTTAAGATGTTTCTGAAGAGCAAGTTGTGCATCCATACGCCCATGTCACCTCTCTTTTTGAGGAACTATTTTACTCCGCGATATAGCTGGTTGTTGTATGGCTGTCCGTGTAAACATGAAGTCACACGTACTAAATAAAATTGTGTTTAGATCTTGGCCTACATCCTTTGAGGTAAGAAATTGTGATAAAAAAATTATAAGAATTGACTAGAGTGCGGGCCAAACACTGTATGAACCTCACTCTATGAAGGTTCATACTCCAATGAACTCACACAAAGTGAAGGTCAATTCTAAAGAGGCCTTACATATTCATGACAATAGTTTTCATCATTATTGATGAAACCTTTATTCTTCTTCAGGTGAACGTGCATCACACCGACCTACTGCTTCTTGGTATTGCTAGAATAATGCTACATGCGTCGTAAAGTAATACACACTCACTCGTCGGATAAGAAAGAACCTTTAGCTTGAACAATGCAAGCGTGATCTACATGCACCTTCCTATAGCCCATGTACCCTGACGCTGGTCAGTAGTATATCATCTTTAATATCTATGTATGTGAATGTGAAAAACGAGCACCAGTCGGTAACAATGGCTGTTTATGATTCTTTGTGTAACCTCAACAATGTTCATTCCTGTCCGTGTTTCGATTTGTAATGATGATTGCTTCATAAACATCTGTCACATCTGCCACAAACATCTGTCAGGTCAGCAATGTAGAAATATGCCCAGCATTGGAGCCACATGTCGAGTCCATTCCATGGAGCGCAATACTGATCACGATTCCTCTGCAGACTTACAGAACGACATACATGTACGTAGGTGACACGTGAAACCTGAACGGGAACACGTAGTCCTGCATCAATTCGGGCTTTCCTTCCAAATCAATCTGTGATATAAACGAAGGTATAACAGAGCAACACCAGGACAAGTTTTGAATTCATTTCAAATTTATTTGTTTGGATCTATCAGCCGGGATCAAGTATTCACTTCTGGGGATTGGGATCTACGGGGAGGTTGTTCTATTCTTGTGAATAACTGCATGTTGTTTTAGGCCCCAGTGACCAATGTTTAAGCCATATGGCAACGCCCTATAAACATTCGAGACTATTCCAAGCAACCACTGGTTGACAACACGTGCAACGAACAGCAAGGAACACGATGACACACATTCAACAAGACACACAATATGATGTCCTTCGTGATAGTCGGCTTAAGTTTTGTATCTCTTTCTTACTCACTTCAATAAAAGGTGTAAGATACTGTAAGAGCTGTTCGTAATTGTAGAGTTTCGGAAATAGAAAATCCTCCTCATTTGATGTTACAATGTGACACAGGGTCGTGTGTATGGACTGCCGAAACTCAACCCCTGTGTATTTAAACCAAAGCAATGGGTACGAACCGGTTTATGCAAACAATATAGATCATTGAAGTAACGTCAACATGCCACAATAGGATTATGTTTAGGCGAGCGGCATTCGTTTTAACAGAATTTTGACACATCAGGTACAGACATTATAATTACGTCTAATGCAGTATTTTGTCTCTCTCACCTTTGTGACCCTAAGTAGTTGACCTGTATTATCTATATATGGTTGGCCCGGGGCTCCATCCTCTGGACATGTATGGTGACGCGATTTAACGTGTCACAATCCACCGCCTTGCAATACTGCTGGTCCTGTTAGCTTTGATGTCCGAAAAATATAGTGTCTATCAAATAGCTACCTCCTAAACAAGTCAACAGGATTATACACAACTCGCAGTCCACTTCCACGCAGCATGGATCGATATCATTATCTCCATACATTTGTCATGTTGTTGAGGAATGCTAGGGGAAATGTGTCATGGGTTTTGTTTCAGAGGTATTGCAATAATGTCACGGCAGAGATAATCTCACACTTAAACAAGTCGTTCTTACCTTGTACCATTTATAACCACCCACAGATAACAGATGAAGGAAGGAACTAATGTTGTGTTGATATTGATTCTGCAGATAGTGATCACACTATGCTACGGGGCGGTCGGGTAGCCTAGTGGTTAAAGCGTTCACTCATCACGCCGAAGACCCGGGTTCGATTCCCGACATGGGTACCATGTGGGAAGCCCATTTCTGGTGTCTCAATCACAACTCACCAATATCTTCTATATTTGTTGTCAAATGTTTCTTCTATCCGGATGACTTTGGTATCGCCCAGCTTCTGTGGTCAGTCATCCCATGCCATGATTTTTGCCATTTGTCATGGTTCCAAAATAGGGAGTACTTAACTTTTTTCTTTTTTTACAGAAACTTGAATAGCTATGGAATCTGAAAGAAGAAAATGCCAGGCTGGTTCGCCCATGACACTTTTCTGGCGAAACATAGAATTTAGAGGTTTCTGGCATAGGACTCTAAGCAGATTTGGGCTATGATAATGTTATAAAAAGTTTAAGCAACAAAAGTTGGTCATCACTCTATGATGTCGAAAGAAACATCAATGTTTAGAGCATGGCGTGACTAGCCCATTGATAGAATCGGGGCCAATTCTACCACCCGTCCAGGTGAAGTAAGGGTGGAAGTGGTGTGAAACACCGGTTCCTGGCCCCAGTGCCCTCAACCACCAGCATCCCGTCCTCCACCAAGACAGGGGTGCAACCCCCTTTTACGACCAGCAATGGGGCGCTGAGGACACTTTCTTGTCTACCCGGGGTCCTCACGGGGGTTTATTGCAAGAAAGGTGGGGTAGGACTAACTACCAACACCATTCTACGTGTACTCTAATCTCAGTAGGCGGCACAACACGCAGAAGTGTTATCTGTCAGGTACGTTTTGAGGTCACCATACCTTAAATTGTGAGGTAGCTGGTCCCACACACGGGGTATCTGCTTACCCTGTTCTAGCGGGGTTGACCTTGGCCTCTTTGTAGCACTTATCGTGTGTTCACTTGACAGCCCAATGCAATATTAAGCATCTGGATCAATAGACATAGGTTGGAGTGCCAAGCTTCGATTAACTCCATATCCAACACAAAGTATGCACATTGTGATCAACGCACCGTGCTTTTGTCAAAGGTCGTCGTGCGTCATGTTTGTTTCGATCGTTGCATTGCACGATTTGAATCATATAGACGGCCCACAGTGACACGTACATGTATACATGTAAAAGAGTCAAGTACATAGTATGAGATAAGGTGGGGTATTATATTCTACATACGGTGTCGACATAACTGACCTAAATGTGTCATCTTCAGTCTTGGTTGATTGATATGCTTGTATTGACGTTGTCACGTGATCTTCATTATAGCAGACGTCGACGAAGGTATGTTGTCTGAAGCACAAACATGTTTCCCGCAGAAGTAATCAACTAGTTATCACATTTTAAACTCCTTTTCAAAATCCATCAAATACCTATGTAATGAAGCATCGGAAGCTATGTACGAAATACCATGCCTCTGAAGCAAGCTTCTGTCATCTGCCTAATAACTGTTAGCTGTATCCGTGATGCTGGTTAAATCTATTGTATTCTGTGGATTTGAAATCTGGGGTTTTGAAAATGTATAACCGGTCGAACAAATCCATGTACAGTTCCTTACAGAAATATTACCAGTTGTGACGAGGTCCAGATTGGGGGACCACCTCCATACGTGCTTTGCTTGTGTGCGTTAGTTTGTGTGTTTATTTCCCTCAGGTTATAAGTTTCCTTTTAGACTGTAACTAAAACCAGATAGGCCTGTATTGAAAATAAAAATGTTCTTAAAGCCCCACCCTGTCTATAAATAGCCCGCAAGGTGGCGGTGTTTCAGTTTCGAACAATGACTGACAATGTAAACACAACCGAGTGTCGGGAGAAGTGTTTTGAAAACCATACGGGAACCAGATCACCATTGACCGTCAAACTTCATATCAACTTGAATGACAATCCATGGATACAACAAATGGCTACATATCAAGTCAATAAATTTTCTGTAGTTTTATCATAAAAAATCGAATCGATCGTGTTTGGCGTCTGCATCAATCACACTGGGCGGAACTTATTTCCGGTTGCGCTATAAATAGCAAAGCACATGGTCATGTGTACATGTGAAACATTTAATGCATTTGTGGTCAAAGTGTATTGTGTTGTATATTTTTACGGCAGAACAGCAGCAGAACATCAGTTTCGGTAAATGTAACAGTAACGATACTTAAATACGAAATTGACGAGGTGATTCTTTCATTTCATTCCGAAACTTACAGATATTTGTTTAGTTTTGGTCATTTGCATTCAACAGTTAGATTTGTGCCACACAATAATCAGTTTATATTCATAAAACTTAAAAATTATTACACAGATTTTTCAACTAGTGTTTAGGAAGGGGCCTAATTTGAAGCACAATGATTTCTCAGCTTGACTACAATAGATGAATATGTCACGTGTATCAACATAACAATGCACATAAGCAACTGGTAAATAAGTAACGAAATATACTTGATGTTTTGACCTACAGAAAGCGTGTCCAGATAATATTGTTCTTACGACAAACGAAGACTCCAATACACATATTCCAAGAGAACTTTAATAATGAATTGCCTTTTCTTTCACAGAATTTTCACACACAAAACTGAGTTTGATCATTAGATCCACACTTGTCCCATGTATTTTTTGTTCGGGGTATTTGGATACACTTCGCGCACAAGTTTTAAAATACAATCTGGGATCCCTTTCCTGTTTGGTCCACACCAATCCTTCATCTGCTGCAACGTTTAATATCCGTTTCTTCAAGTCCAAGTATCTGAAATCTCTCCAAACACTTCGTTTATTTAGCTCAATCCACAAGCAATGTGTTCGAATCGACGAATTTCTGCAACATGGTGGCCGCACCATTCCCTAACTTCGATTGCCTTGCCGTGTCACGCATGGTTGACAAAAGAAGTCAGTAGACATATTCAGCTTCATCTGGTTCCACAATGATTTCTAGCTGTGAAACTGATTCACTATTCACAAAAATCGTCACTGAATTTATCAAAGTTTCTTTTGCACTTGCAAGGGCGAGAAGAGAGGCGCCATCTTGTCGATTCGAGTTGTGAATCGGAATGATGTCATCTTGAATTGGAACTTTCTCCACGATAAAGTCACCAATGTCATAATCGAAAGGACCAAAGGCTCCCTGATTATCTCGAACAACTCTTCGTCCAATTTGGCTTCACATGAAAATGTTTTGTTGCTCATATTGAAGACAAGCAAAATTGCAAAGTTCTTGACAGTTGTAAGCAGCAGTCGATGCGCTCAGGGGGCGTGGTTGCTAGAAGATCGCGTGGTCAGAAAGGGGAAAACAAAAAAGTTTTAGAAAGTAATAAAAGAAATACGCAGTGCAATCCAAAAGTACCATGTACAGGATATTTTTTAATAATAATATTTATCATATAATGGGTGGGTTTCTCGGCAGGATAAAGCCAACGGATAAAAACGATATCCGTTGGGGTCATATGCGGATAGAGATGCAAATATCAAAGGTCAAGTAGGGACTACTTTCACTGTTTATAAACAAACATGGCGTCGCCCTCGTCATTGGGCGATCGAGTAAGAAATAACCATCGGGAATCTGGATAAACTACAGAGATAATTGCTATCATTATCAAAAGAACAGTCTAATATACTGAAAATAAGTGTCTAACTGTGACGTAGCTACGGCATTTTATAAGTTTGGGCAACTTTAGAAATATAAATTTCGAAACAATTTTGCGAGGGCACGAGGCCTAGCGAAGCGGAATCAGTAGCCATATCTGTGCTTGTTGACCTCTGCGGCTTGAAACCTTCTCCACAAATTTAAATAGTTGGATTTGGTCGAAATATGTTTGAATTGTTACCTTGTTTCGTTTTGTCGCTGTGTGTACATCTGACTACACTTCTTAACGTTATGACAGGACAGACCGACTGTCAACAACGTCTGCCCGTGGCCGTGATGTTTAATAGGTTAGAGTAGCTTCCCTTTGACAAAGGACAGTTACTCTAGCGGACAGACCGATGGATTGCCGCGAAATGCGTACATGTTGCTTCGCCACTGTATAAGAAACAGATTTCAGTTGGAACTACATTGGCTACTGTCACTGTCCGACTGACTCATCATTTACCCTGTGACGTAATAAATATTAATGCGCGCATTCCAGGAAAACTCGCAATGTTTCGGTTATGTATGTGAGAGAGGGAAACCGATTTTGAATCACAGAATTAAAGAATGACATTATATGATAAAGAGGTTATCACGCTTGTGTGTTTGGGGATGGTACACCCCAAACACACTCGCGTGATAACCTCTATTCACGAAAAACATCTTTTCTACAAATGCAAAATAATCTAATAGTTTATCCCAAGGTCGTAACCCTGATCACGTGGTGGGTATTTGGAAGGAATCCTTGAATGAGGCCGTGTGTATTACATTGTTGAATTCAACTGCCCAGGAAGATTGTTGAGGCATTAACATTATGACAGATGTTCGTCAGAGAGAAACATTGTTGCTTTGAGCTTCGAGACAAAACATTTGTTAATGCCGAAGTAGCCAGCGACCTGAATCTAAGCTTGATGAAAATAATGTTGAAACCCATTTTCACGCACATGACAGAATGAATGTGAACAAATATTTATCTGAACATCGTTTCGAAGTCTGTGAGGCTGTCCGTATTTTAATATTTTTATCTCCATTCCGACGTGAAATAATATAATGTCTTCGTGTCTCAATATTGCTGCCGCTGTGGAAAATTGCGCACCGATCTAATAAATGAAATACTACTAGATCTACTATTGCACCGTCATAAAAGAACCAGGTCAACTTTATCTTTGTTCCGTTGTTTATTAAAAATTCGTTTCCGAAGCAAAGCGAATCGATCTACATCATAAATTAATTCATTGGCCAAATTCTAGTACCAAGTGTTAAGTCGTGTCAGCTAAATGTGGGAGGAAAGCCCGAAGTGATGCAGGTCTCAAACGTTTCCCACCTCAGTGAAACCCACGAGCATGGTTATAGTGCTGACAAACCTAGAAACATAATCGGGGCGAACCGGGATTCGAACCCACAATCATAGGTTTCTGGCGTGCCCAAGGGACGCAACTCTGCACAGTGAATCGCGGCGCCTTTTACGACTATGCCCCCTATAGCCAATTAAGAATCCACACTAAAAACAGATTCTCCTTGTCAAGTCCTTTTCTAATGATATCGGCATGTCCTTTGGACTCGACAAATGCAACATTCTTTATCTGCAACGTGGCAGGGTAGAGGAGGGAGGATAAGTCAGTTGACTTGGAGGAGGAGTTATTGACCATCTCGTGGAAGGCCTATACGTACTCAGGGATGCAGATTAGGGACAAACTCCAGAATGCCCATATCAAGGTAAGACTTCGGGAAGAGTACAAATGTAGACTTAAGAAAATATGGAATTCAGAGCTCAATGCTCGCACTAAAGTCAAAGACACAACTCTTAATGCTGTACCCGTCCTTTCATATGTTTTGGTGTGTTGATTGGACGAAACAAAAACATGACAACCTCACACGAAGAATCATGTCAGACAATAGATCCCACCACCCTCGCTCTTCCCTCAATCGCATATATTTACCAAGCATAATGGGAGGGGAGCATGGTGTCAATCACTGGTTGTCTGGTCCAGATTCAGACAGACAGACAGACACACAAATATATGTGTTCTATTTCAGCATTGCATGGCACTGACCCTTCACATGCCATTATTAGTGAGTGAGTGAGTGAGTGAGTCAGTGAGTGAGTCAGTGAGTTATTGTTCTAAGTTACCTATCACGTATGTCCTATTGGTACAGATATCAAGTATTTCACACTGGCACAATCTACATTTCGAACAAGTGACGAGTAAATCAATGTTATTGAAGTTTGTTGTTGCTATAGGGCTCGCGAGGAGGGGAATATCAGCATTACAGATATCGCGTGATGGACTGCGAGACATAGTCATGTGAATGACGCTCAAATAACACCCACCTACTGTACCCACCTACTGTACCCACCTACTGTACCCACCTACTGTAGCGTGTAACTTGTAGATTCAGTGTGCCGCCGATGCCACACTGTATGAAAATGTGTAGCCCGTTTATGATTCAAGAGAAGATCAGGGGAAGTTTTTTAATCATAAACAGGGCTATATAGTGACTAATATAAACTTAACAAAAATTGGGGATACTCGGAAATAATCAACAACTTCCAAAATTGTAAGAGCCATTAGTTTCTTGTAATAGTTGTATGATAATAATGAGCGAATTGGGAACACATCACAATCGTTAGTGACATATATGATTGTTGGTGTTATGACTGCCAACGATCTTGAAGGACTGTAGGGTTAAGGTGGGAATTTTCAAAGTTGACGTTTTTAGATCAGTAGTGCTAATACTGCAATGATTTGACTAGCATACATTCCCACGACGAGGCATACTGCGTTTGAATCTCCTAATGACGTTTTGAGGGAGTTTGTCCCACTCCTCTTGCAGCGCATGGCCAAGTTCAGCCATTGTGGTCCACAGCCTATGACATTGACGCACACGTCTCCCTGTCATGTCCTTGTCGTGTTCAATAGGGTAATTGGTCTGGGGTCATTGCTTACCATGGATGTTGACGAGGATTACAATGAAATGACTAATTTGTTATCCAAAGAACCAAGGAAGTTTGGTAAACTGTAAACAAAATGTATATTTCCAGGTCCTAAACTACAACTGGACGCTGCTCGAGCCAACACAGACAGGTGCCACGTAATTACAGACGGTGAGCTGGTCAACTCGCCGCCCGCCACACGATACAGGGATGCCGGCAGGTTACAGACATACCACGGCACCTGTAGCTCTACCCCATCCCCCTTCCTCCACACCCCTCTAATGTCAGCCCTGCCCCACACACACCACGATACTGGGAGACCCACTCCAGGGTGGGTGTGGTGAGTGGAGAGCGGTGGCCTGTTGTTCTAGAGATGGCTGTCGGGGGGGAGAGCCATGTGGACAGTGGGTGGTGTGTTTGTGTACAGCGCCGCTCCTGGTGTGTCGGTGTATGGAGCTGTGGCACACACGGGGGGAGTTTCTCTACCTGGGTGTATCAGCAGGGGAAGTGGGGTGAGTGTTACAGAAACACAATGTCTGACACACCCGGCACACAGGCCACCCTCCACAATGGCGTTGTTATGATTATCAATCTGCGGTAATCGATCATTTATCACACATTTCCTACATTTCTGGGAAATGGCACAACAATCAACTGAGTGCAGAAATTCATGAAAAGTTGTTACAAATCATGAATTTGTTGACATGTTTCGTTTCTTCAATATAATTGTTTTAAATCCCCACATGAATAGTGTTGTGCTGAAAGAATTGCAGTTGTGCCACCACATTGCCACATTTGATGTCAGTGAAGAAATGTGATGAAAGTGATTAAAGGGGACATAGAATGTACCTGTGTATATGTGATGGGCCTACGGAAATATTACAAACCTATGATTGTGGGATCGAATCCCGGATCGCCCCAATTATGTTTCTAGGTTTGTCAGCACCATAACGTGCTCATTGGTTCACCAAAGTGGTAAACGTCTGAGACCTGCATCACTTCGGGTTTTCCTCCCAAAAAAAGCTGACGCGACGTGTTGTAACAGGAAGCTTGTTCAAAGTGACGTTAAACTCAACCCACTCACTCACTCACAGAAATCCATGGGAACCTTCTCTCTATAGGGTACTCCACCTAAATGCAAGGAGTGCCTGCATGTTACCTGAGGCCATACAAGGGTGTCTGAATGTAACCAGCATCACAGTTGCTGCACTGTGAACAAGTACAGGAAACCGGTGGGGCCTTGTAAAGGCTATATAACTATAGCTGTCAGACTCTAGCATGGGCCGATGTTACTCTGATACAAAAACACTTGAATATAAACAAAGAAGATGATACTATTCTGAAACACGTGAGAAAATAACGTTGAGATAAATAGACATATTGAAGTTTGAGGGAGCTGAGCCTGTTATTTTTTGTTCTTCTTTATCGCGAGATAAGTAAAACACATTCCCGCACTGATGTTACCTCAGTGTTTGGCCATTAAATTGGAACATTACGAAAATTTAACAACTTATAAATAGTTTTCTATCCCTGGATTTGAAAAAAACATTTACTGCTGACATTATAACTATTTCTTGAACTACCATTACGACCGCCACGATAGCAAATATACACGTGGTTTACTTTTTGATGCATCTTTACAAGCAATGTGTGGCACATTCTGCAATATTTCTTTATCTGAAAGGTAACATAATTTACCAAAGTATGAGGTAAACATGCATCGAATTCAGTTTGTCGAAATGTCGGAGTTTATGTAGTTCCAGATAATGAAATGTCACAGTTGATGTAGTTCCAGACAACGAAATGTCACAGTTTATGAGGTTCCACATAACGAAAAGTCACAGTTGATGTAGTTCAAGATAACGAGATGTCACAGTTTATGAAGTTCTAGATCACGAGATGTCACAGTTTATGTAGTCTCAGATGATGAGATGTCATAGTTAATGTAGTTCCAGATGACGAAATGTGGCAATTTTTTATGAGGTTCCACATAACGAAATGTCGGAGTTTATGTAGTTCTAGATCACGAGATTTCACAGTTGATGTAGTTCCAGATAACGAAATGTCACAGTTTATGTAGTTCCAGATAACGAGATGTCAGAGTTTATGTAGTTCCAGATAACGAGACGGCACAGTTTATGTAGTTCCAGATAACGAGATGTCAGAGTTTATGAGGTTCCACATAACGAAATGTCGGAGTTTATGTAGTTCTAGATAACGAGATTTCACAGTTGATGTAGTTCCAGATAACGAAATGTCACAGTTTATGTAGTTCCAGATAACGAGATGTCAGAGTTTATGTAGTTCCAGATAACGAGACGGCACAGTTTATGTAGTTCCAGATAACGAGATGTCAGAGTTTATGAGGTTCCACATAACGAAATGTCGGAGTTTATGTAGTTCCAGATAATGAAATGGCACAGTTTATGTAGTTCCAGATAACGAGATGGCACAGTTTATGTAGTTCCAGATAACGAGATGTCAGAGTTTATGTAGTTCCAGATAACGAGATGTCAGAGTTTATGTAGTTCCAGATAACGAGATGTCAGAGTTGATGTAGTTCCAGATAACTAGATGTCAGAGTTTATGTAGTTCCAGATAACGAGATGTCAGGGTTTATGTAGTTCCAGATAACGAGATGTCAGAGTTTATGTAGTTCCAGATCACGAGATGTCAGGGTTTATGTTGTTCCAGATAATGAAATGGCACAGTTTATGTAGTTACAGATAACGAGATATATCAAAGTATATGATTCCAAATGAATTTATGACACGAACTAGGTTATATGTTATGCATAGTGTGCTAGGGGTCCGTGCTCTTGCATTTTGGCGATAACTGAAGGGTGAGTTTATTTCATTGATATGGAATAGACATTTCTATGCATATCTGACGATAATCAGTTACAAGAAATTTGTTCATCGTAATTAATTTATTCACTAGTAAGCAACAAACGATTTTCCGCCATTTTGCGATGCATGTAGATTAAAGCTTTCAATACGCGACGAGTGGGAAGTGTATATAAGCAATCACTGTGTATGTACAGCGGAGGCATTCCCATGTTGAGTGTGAATTTACAAGAAATATTTTAGTGGTGTTAGCACTTTTTATAATGATAGGAACAAAGGCTATGTGAGTTATTAAGAAGTGCATGATTTGAAGTATTGCCAATGTAGAGCCTTTGGATGTTGAATAACATGACTTTGAAATCAGTGAGGCTATATGTGGCTCAGGGATGCAACTCAGGGAGATACAGTGCTCGATAGCACATAGCAAAAAAACCCTGAATTTCCTGAGAAGATCATCGATGATTTAAAAAAAAATAAAAATGGTTTTACCTGATGTCAGACTTTAACAATGAATAAGATACTCCTCGAGAATGAACGTATTGGTGTACTGACCGTCGCGATCGTGATGTGTGACTGCGCAAGCTAAACCCCGAAAGACGAGTCCAGTTTGCAAGGGTACGCTGTTTCAGCTTGGTGTCACGTGAGAGTTTATGTATCCTGCTTACATAGCAGATTAGCTGCATCCAGGACAGGCTGTACACAACCTTCTCTCTCGTGCTGAAAGACTCACTGTTGACAAGTAAGCATGTGTATCGCTGCCTCTGGTGTTTTTAATGGTTAATGTTAGATATTCTATTCCGTAATTTGTGTTGTTATTATGAAGAATAAATGAAATATGCTTCTCTTTTTGATAGGTATATTTTTCATCTTTTCCATGATACAGATTCTCAGTAAATGTCAAATGTATATCTGAATGTATCTGACATGATAAGCTGTCAACCGATCTCGAGTGGCATATGGAGTGATGTACATAGGCTCTCACACAGTGTATGTCACACCATATACCCGGAGGGAAAGCGTTCAGCCCGGGTTTGATTCCCACTTTGGTGCAATGTATGAACTTCAACTTTGTGAGCGTCGCCGCCATGTTGCATGAATATTGCAAAAGCGGCGTAAAACCATATTCACACACTTATTCCAACATTCGTACAAGTATAGGCACATGTGAATTATACCACGTATCAAACTCTAGAGATGACGTGAACGAGTGACGTCCTGTCCATGATTCAGTTTGCACATATAAACCTTTTATCTGCTCCGGGATTAATTCAAGTATTAGAATGTGGAATATTTAAGCATATTTCCTGGTGTGCCTATGCGTCCGTACACTGCATGTGCGTGTGTAAGGATCGCCGTATGGACGGGTGCATTATTAGAATAAAAGTAGATGAATAAGAAAACGTACAACTTTATTGGTAACAACCTCTGGTTTATTGTATTTAGCAACGTTTCGATGTATAATCTTACACTGTTATAAACCAGAAGTTGGTAGCCATAAAGTTGTATGTTTTCTTATTTACTCGCCAACTTCTAGAACGCCAATCAAACAGTTAAAAGTATATATTACAAGAATAGTATCCCCACTCGCAGTCGCAACAACACTTAACTCTCACCAATTTCGGAGTGGCATTGCATTCATCAGGTAGGGTTTCCATCATGTCGCGGTGCAGCTGTTTACTTTCTCACATCAGACAAACTTTGTGTCTGGGTAAATGTATAGATGGCTTTTGAACCGTGACACAGTGGTACTTCAGGATGATACTGCAGTATCTTACTTTGGTTAAATGTTACGGTTTATGAAACTGCACTGGTCACCTTGGATGACCCTTGTACATAAACTCAACAGCTGTATTGTATTAATCTTCTAACCGGCAACAACCTGGGCTATGCGTGGTACATGCAGTGCCTGACCCTGCATGTCGGCACCACGTTATGTCGGTTACGCTTCAGAATGCCTTAGTCACTTGTGTGATTTGTAATGGCTGACTGGAAATGTATGTGATGCGACCTTCTCGTAATTCTGGCATATACGACAACAAATATTTACCTTGGCTATAAAATATTTCATATAAAACAGCACACGTTATCACCCATGACATATACAATTTACAGTGAGCATATTTCTGATATAGATAATGCCACAAACGCCAGACGGGAATGATCTCATACACTATTTTTTTGCATATCTGTTACATGTGCGTCTTTTTATCAACGTATATCACTTTACAAGTTAGATATTCTGCATCGGTCATGTTAATGTTGAAATGATAATGTTTGTTTCAGAATGCTGCTTTGGGGCGTGTGCGTTTTGCTATTCCTTGATGTGGAGTTTACACAAGGTGTTGGTAAGTTATGTTTATTCATTTACAAAAAAATGTCTGTCCAGAGTACAACTGCAAGTAGGTGATGAACCGATGACGCGACTAACATTTTGTACATGGCGGCGTTTGAATCAAGCCCACTTCATTCATCGTCGTGGATGTAGAATGATGTATGTTTTGAACTTTCTTTCTCGATTTGCGTTATAATAGTTAAAACTTGTCAAACACAAGGAATTTGGCCAAGAAGTTTACCTTAAGCTTCAGGTATATCGATGATCTTTTATCGTTCAATAACTGTCAAATACTAGTATATAATTCTATTTACCGGATTTACCCATCTGCGCTAGAAATATAAGTGACCAGTAAAACCGCCTCATTTATTTCATATTAAGATCTAGGCTTTAAGATTCTGGGTGTCAAACAATATCACAAGGCTGTATGACAAGGTGGATTACTTCAGCTTTTTACTGTCGAGAAATACTTCAGCAGCTGCAGCCTTTGGTATCTACATTTAACAACTTTTGAGGGCCAATCGTGCGTGCTCTTGTAATGAAGATGTCAAGGAGGGTCAAACGTTGATTCGTCAGGGTTACAGCATTAAAGGCCATGGTAAGACTTTCAAAACGTTCTGTGGAAGAAGTTTCAGAATTGTCACAGCAGTGACACAACAGATGTTAGCGCAAATACCTTATTTTAACTAGTACCATTTTCTGCCTTTGCATGGGTTTATGTTGAGTGCCTTGCGTGGGACGCGCCTCTTTGCAAACACCTGCATAAACAACTGTTTTTTGATGTAGTCGGAACCTTACAATAGACTACTACTATAGCCCGGGTAGTCACCCATCTCTTTAAAAACTTGTATTCGGTGAGGATATTAATTGAAAGATATGTAACTAGCCTTATCCGACCGTCAGACAGATTTCTTGATTTATTATGTTATATTATATGTTTTATTTATTTTATTTCATATTTTTATCAACAGCAGAAGTCGGAATTAAACGAAAATTGTTATATGAATTATTATCAAATACTTTTGTTTGTAGATGCATGTTGTGGGAGATAACGTACACAAATATATATACGTGGCCAGAAATGTAACTCTTAGTGAGTGGGTTTGGCTTAACGCCGCTTTTAACAGTAATCCAGTTGTATCATGGCGTGAATTGAACTCTTAAATCTGTCAATAGGTAATTATAAACTGACTCTAACCGATCCTTGTTGGTCCATATATCAGATATTCTAGGCCTTCTCTTAACCCATTACTGGATGCCATATGTCTTCTCATAATCTCTCCAAGTAGAACTTCTCCTTGCCCGTTATAACGTCGCTACATAAGTTTGGAGCCGACGTTAAACCCCATTTTACCTCAACTAACCCGTTACCAGATGTCCTATCCCGTTATAAGATGTCCTAGGACTTTTCTATCCTGTTGCAGGTAGGAAGGGTAGCCTAGCTAGTAGTTAAAGCGTTCGCACTTCACGCCGAAGGCCCGGGTTCGATTCCCCACATGATAACCATGTGTGAAGCCCATTTCTGGTGTCCCCCGCCGTGATATTGTCGTTATCAGTTTTCCAATGAATTCTCCTATCCTGTTAACAGATGTTTTACGACGTCTCTTATCCCGGCACATGATGTCACAGGACTTCACCTACCCTGATCGAGTAACCATATGTCCTAATACTTGTCTATATACGTAGCCAGATGTCCGATGAATTCCTTCAGAAGTAAGGACATCAGTTTGAAACGTATGTCAAAATAGCAATGTACCTAATTAGGGAAAGGCCTGGTTAAAATGCAGAAGTGGATATAATACATCTTGTGATCAAAAGGTAAACGTAATGTAGGCGATGAAGACTCTCTGTGCTCGCACTGAACATGCGTAGAAGATGAAAAGCGTGTATTGTTTGTGTGTCCTCTGTATATAGATGCACGTTTCCGTTGACGTTCCAAGATTTAAGAAACAACCCATCCCACGATATAAGCGTTATCCAAAAGTGGAACGGAAATGAACCACTTTCAAATTCCACGATGCATGTGAGTTGTGTAATGTAATTGTATAATATATCTGTTAGTAAGATGGGTCATATGGCCTTGAATGAAACAAGACATGAGTAATATATTTAATAAGGAATGTGTTTTAAACCTAAACGGAATACAACGTTTGGTGTGCCTAACACCACCAAAGCACAACATTCCCAAACCGTAAACATGTTTACGATTAAAATTCATACCATTGGGTATTATCCTAATAACCTAAACATGATTAAATAAAGGGCATATAAATGGTCAGTAAGTCAAATATGGATATAATGCACTTTACGTAATTAGATTTATACCACCAGGACGTACAACACCTGATATGTAATCCCTGCTCTGAATGTGGACTAGAAAAAATGCGATATAAATGTGACGTCAACAAAGTCGGTAGCACAGGTGATTGCAGCAAGGACTACAAATCAATCATAGTAATCACAAATGTGATGCTGCTGTATGACAAACAGTATTCCTATCATACAGGAAACGGATGGAGACAATGATGGTACACCTGATAACGTGATAGACACCTGACTTTCATCACCTAGCCACCCATCACCTTTATTTACAATACACTCTGAATAAACTTTTATCGTTTAAACAAGTAAAATATCTTTCAGTTTGGTACAGTGATTTAATTCACACACCCACCCACACACACCCACCCACACACACACACACACACACACACACACACACACACACACACACACACACACCCCCACACCCACACACACGCACGCACGCACGCACGCACGCACGCACACACACACACACACACAAACACTCTGATAAGTACTCATTTGAGTATTGACGGCTTAGTAAGTAATGTGTTTACAAACACACTGACTTAGTCTTTATATCTAGTCAAATTTACTATGTATCATGTATCTGGAAACCAAGGCAATGTTTGAATGTCTTCTACTGGATTATACTTATCAGATATAAAATAATGATATTTATATAATGAGTATGCCAGGGTCAAATGAAAGTATATACATAAGAGGTGTTTCCACTTATGGTATTCGTCCTCTATTTCTCCGGATACACTATTTCCGTCTTTGTATCTGTGACATACATTTACATTAATATTGTGCGAAGGCATTCTTTATTTACAATACACTCTGAATAAACTTTTATCGTTTAAACAAGTAAAATATCTTTCAGTTTGGTACAGTGATTTAATTCACTTTGCCGTAAAAATGAAGTGATGAGGAAATAGTCTGA